AATTGAGATGTTAACCAGAGCGGCCCTCTACAAACAAGAAGAGTGGTGCTAAAACAAGCTAACAAGGGTTGTTAATCAGGGTTAGGTGCCTCTATTCTTCGCTAAAGAGCTAAAGAAGACTAGAAGGCCCACTAATTTACACATTGTTTGAAGTAACTTGTTTATATGCAGGGAGATTTGCATATGAGTTTAACCTTTTTACCTAACCTCAGTTACTTTTCCCACAAGATAGATACCCGCTGTTTTCCTGTTCTGTAGCGCGAGTTATTGCCTCCCCCCACCCACCTATCTGGGCCATAAAGAATTTGGGTTTCTGGTGACCTCTCCCCGACCCGGTGATGATCTGTCATAAAATGAGCCTGCCCCAATTTTAAGAACTGCTTAGCTTAAAAGAAATTACCGGGTAATACTATGGCCCAAACCCCAATCGGTGCTTTCCTTTTGTTCTGTATGTATCAAATGAGTTAGATATCAGATCTTTGTAAAACTTAAGTTCCAGCGTCTCATAACTCGTGACCCCTTCGCACTCACTAGCGAAGACAAGCTGTCCTGAGATAATTAACTCTCCACTTTCTTCTCCAAATATTGCTGCAGACGTGCCACTCTGAGATAATGTCAGTCTGCAGGATGGGAGTAATTTGAGGAACACCAGGAAGTCCCGAGATTGTCAGAGCTAAGTGGACAGCAATACAGTTTCCAGATGCAGGTCAACAGGTTTAATGGCCTTGCAGGTTTCCCCCCACTTTCCCTTACTTTTAAAAACCCCTTTCCCCAGTCTTGGGCGCGCAGTCTTTGGGTCGATCCAGGAGAGACTGTGCTGCCAGGACTGGCTCAATAAAGCCTTTGCTACTTAAATTTTTGGACTCTTGTTTCCTTGGATTTTATATCAGGGCCTGAGTTATAACAGTGGCTAGAAACAGAGAGAGACAACCAGAGTGGAAGCAGCTGGGGACCAGATTCAGTCTCCAAGTTCACACCTCCATGATCCAGTCCTTTCCAGTAAGACCCACTCCTATATCCATCACTTTTTAAAAATGCCATCAAATTATGTCCCAACAACTAATTAATTCAAGGAAATTAGAGAATTCATGATCCAGTCACTTCCAGAAACCTATCAATCAGCATGCAACCCTCCAACACAACGAGCCTTTTGGGGGACATATAGCCAAACCATAACACTATGAGGACACATCAACAAATAAATGGATTCCTGTGGAAATGTAACTGATAACAGTTGTGGATGTTACCTTTCTGTCCAGGAAAACGGCAACTTCCAATAAATCAGCATTACAGAAGGGAAAGAGGAGTTTCCTTGAATAGGATTATTTTATTTGAGTCACTACTGTGGCCCCCATGCTGACCTCCCAAGAGGCAAACTCCCCTGTTTAATGCCATGCCTAAAAGCACAAAGAAAAAAGACAAGTTAGAAATTTCACTATCAATTTGCTAACTGCTGAGAAGAGCTAATGAGAAATAAACACAGAATATAAATAAAGCAAATTAGAGTCTGGTTAACAGGCAAAGGTTTCAAATCTCATCAGAGCTAATTTGCTTCCTAGAGACTCCATGGAGGGAAAGAAATCCTACCAAAGTACATCTCACCCCCTCTCATCTTTGCATTTTTCTGCTCTAGAGTAAGACAAGCCTGAGGTTGATTTGCTGCTTATTACGGCAGATCTGTCTATTTGGGCAAGTTATTTAGACTCATAAATAATGCCTGCTTCCCAAAGCTGGTTTAAGAGAGTTTTGCTTCCTTAAGGCTGTGCTATAGAGATCTTAGGTATCCCTCAGTGGTGCATGTATCGAAGGGTTAGTACCTTGGCCTGGTATTACCAGGAGGAGGTGGAACCTTTAAGTCATTGGAGGCATGTCCTCAGAAGGGACTGAGGGACTCTGGCCCCCTTCTTGGTTTGTTGTGCTCAACCACACACTTCTGCCATGAGGTCTCACAGCAACAGGTCTCAGAGCAACCAGTTAACTGGGCATGGATGGGAGCCTCTGAAACCATGAGCCAAAGTGAAGATTTTCTGTTTATAAACTGATTTGCCTAGGGATTTACACTGCTACAAAGCTAACAGATTGCCATAATGTACCACATTGGGTAGGTTTAGCAGTATAAAGGTATTGTCTAAAAGTCTGGAGTTGGTAGTCTGAGATCAGGTGTCAGCGGATTGATGTCTCGGGTGTCAGCTGCAGGGCCCTCACCTCACAGCTGGGAGGGTGTTGGCAATCTGTGGCATTCTTTGGTTTGTAGATGCATCACGTTGGTTGCTGTCGTCTTCATATAGCAGTCTCCTTTTTGTGTCTACCTCCAAATTTTCTCTTCTTAGTAGGACTTAAAAACATTAAAAGGATATCAGTCATGCTGGTTGAGGGCCCCAGCCTGCTCTAGCCTGGTCTCATCTTAACTAATAATATCTGCAATGACCCTATTACCAAATCAAACCCCATTGTGAAATACTGGGTTTGTTCAACATGCAAATGAGGGGGAAAGAATTCAACCCAAACAAATCATGAGTGAAGTGATGGGTTTAAAGCAGTTAACATGACGTATTGCACCTGCCGGCTCCTAGACACACTGCCCTCGTGGCTACCATGACTTCTCAGTTTTGTGCTCGGCCCATTTGCTCCTGTCTGACCCTTGCAGCCCTGACCAGGTCACAATATGCTAAGGTGATGTAAGAACCATGGCATGATTTACACACCTGTCATGGTAAATGATTGACAATAACATTATCATTATAATTGTATATACAGTTATCATGCTATAAACACTCTCCTAAGCACTCTTATTTGCTAATTTTTTTTAAAATTTTCATCTTTTTTTTTTTTTTTTTTTTTTTTTGGTCTTTTTTCATTTTTATCGGTACCGGGGATCGAACTGACGACCGCCTGCTTGCAAGGCAGGTACTTATGCCGCTGAGCTAAACCCCCAGCCCCAAATTTTCATCATTTTAATAAATATATATCAGGAAAACCTCACTTTATTACAACACATTCATATACAAGCATCTATCATCTAATTTTTCAACATCAAATGTTTATCAAATATTGAAAATAAAGGACAAAACATTATTAGACTATTGAGCTATAACATGTTTTAAAAATTGGTCCTTGTGGACAATTGTCCAAATGATCCTACTCATACACTGTATGAATGAGACATATATTTAATATTAATAGCAATAATAAAAAAAACTTTATCTTGGAGAAACTGGGAGGAATTTCTTACTTTCTCCATTTGGCATTTAGTTTCTGTGAAGTAATGTGTAAAGAGATCCAAGTCAGTCAGTAACCTTGGCAATGGGAATAGTGAGCAGGAGGAGCTGGTTGGCGTGAGGGCTGCTCAGAGAGCCACCCTGGACACTCTTGCAAAAGCAGAAATTCAAGACACCACTGGGAAGAATACTGGCCAAATATGTAGTTCACAATTATAGACCGAGTCCCATTTCTCCAAAATAACTTTCCAAAAACTAAAATCTTTACATTCTTTAAGATAAACCTTATTGATCACCACATCATTTATTAACATTGTGCTTCTTAATCAACAGCAAAAGTCATATATAAAAAAACCACATGCTTTTATAATCTAAATGATTGAAATGATGCAAAACAGATTAAAGTATAACGCATGCCACGGGGTTCCTGAACTTCATTGGACAAGAAAACAACCCATAACCCAAAACTCCCAGACCCCAGCAACAGACCGCTGCCATAGAAAAGCTCACGTAGCTAGTGCTGGATCCTAACAGGTCTCTATTGTCTCCTCCATTCCGATTCCAAAAATGCCAAACCCAAAGCAACTGGGCATCAAAAATAAAGGAAATATAGAGATGTTGAATCAAAAGTTGAACATAACAGTTCAAAGTTAACAGTTTCCAAACCATATGGATCCATCCTGTGTGGTTTTTTTTTTTCCTGTTTGTTAAATCCCTGCTGTAACTCTGATTTATCCTTAATTTTCACACTGGCAAAAATTAAGATAAAGTAAGGCACCAAAAATCGCCCTGTATTCCACTTCCTTCAAAGCCTCCTCACCCATCCCAGGCTAGTGGGAACTTACAGGGAATCCCCTGTGCAGACTACTGAGTGTAGCCCTGGACAGGTATATTTCATTGTGTACCATCCTATTTTCCTGTGTAACAGAGACTGTTAAATACAGATACTTAACAGCACCATGAAGCCCTTTTACTAACTCCCTGTCTCAGTCTTTTATTTAGAAAAAAATACTGTATCCCACTGAAGAAGCAAACATCCTTTGTTGATTACATTGTGTGCTTATCAACTGGCAAACATGTTGAACTTGTTTCCACTAGTGACAGGCTCCTGGGGGCAATAGAAATGTCACAAGAGTATATTATCCCCTTATTTGCCAACTTTTAAAATTTTGTAAAACAATTCTATAAAGAAGGCATGATTATTATTCTCCCCATTTTATAAATGAAGAAACTGAGGAAAAGAAAGGGTAGGAATTTGCCCAAGACCACACAGCCATTAGGTGTCAGGACTGGAATTCCAACCCAAGCAGGTGGCTTCTGGGCCCCTGTGCCCTCAACAATAGTCTGTCCTGTGTGTCTTCCAAATATCTGTCTCATCACTGGTTTTGAGGAACTGCATTAAGAATGGAGACAAAGTCAGTTCCATGCCACAAATCAGACCCATTGTGTCAGCCTCACTGTGAAATTTGGATCCATGGGAACAGCTGTGACCCCAGTCACCTTCTTGGAAGAGGGGATCCCAGTCTCAGAGAGACAGGACTACAGATATCTCTCTTTGCAGCTTCAATATGGCATAGGGATCAGGAACACAGGCCTCACTGTCTGCCTCTTACGAAGGAAGAGAAACACATTTTGAATCATTTCCTTTTGGTGGGAGGGTATGCGGCAGTGTTTAAACCCGATCAAGCCAAACCAATCCTCACTGCAGACAGCAGCTTGGAAAGCTCAGCCCAGCAGGCTGTTCAGCACTCACTCTGTGTCCCATTTCCTCCTTGGATCTGAGACCTGGGAACCCACCGTTGTGTGTTCACAGCTTCTTCCAAAGCCAGCAGCATTAAGGGGGAGCTTACAGCTTGCCTGTACCCCCCAAGGCCCCAAGCTCTGTGTGTGGCCACCAATGTCGTGGCTGTCTTGCACATGAGACTGAGGTATGGGCCTGTCCATTCACTTTGTTTGGCACTCTAGAGGGTTCCACAGAGCCCGATGTGACTGCTGCCAACCTTCTCCTTCATGCTCTGCAGTTGGGATCTCTGTGTGGGCTCCTGAACCAAAGATCCTGTGGCTCTAGCTCGTAGTTTATATTTGGGTAGCTGTCTTTAATGTTTTCTATTAGTCATTCCACCATCCTGTACTATTCCAAAGTCTATAGTCAATCTTATTAACCTCTGAGGCCTAGTCCATCCACCTACTCCTGCAATAAACTTCTCAAAAATGTACTATGTGAGCGCTGCTTATGCTGTTCAAAGGGATCAGCCTGATCAGCACAGGTCAGTAGAGAGAACCCCCAGGCAGGGTTAGTCATCATCTGCTGTGCTGCCTCTTTTGTGTCCTGGACCTGTAAGGCAGAGCAGCCAGCTAGGAACACCACATGCCTACTTGATAAGCTGAGGCTCTTTAGGGGCCTCCACTCATTGGCCCTCTGCTGCGCAGGGCCTTCACATCCTGGGGTTTTTAATCCTTCGGACCCAAGTCTCCTTGACCCCTCTGCACATGAATGCACCATGGTTTCCTTGTGATGCTTTTACAAGGAAAATAGGTACTCACCTGCCCATCCCTCTGTGCTCAAAGAGGCCACTTAGCATGGCTGTTAGTGAGCTCCAGGTGTCCATCTCTGACGTGTGTAGGCTGGGACTGACTAGTCTTACTGAATTTTTAAGTTCTGTCCCGAGATACCAAAAAGTCTCCAAAATCCACCCCTGAAGGTTCACAGATGAGTAAGCAGCCTGGAGAAAGGAATGCACTGTCCCAAGGCAGAACTGGCACAGATGTGGGATGAGTGCCCTGTGTCCAGGTGTCCAGTCCCTGGCACTCTCCCTGCAACTGCCCTTGACACTGGAACATCAAAACTTTCTGAGACATCAAAGGAGAGAGAAAACTTTAAGTTAAAAAAATCACACAATAAAAGGCATATTCCTTGGTCTCACTTCTCCAGAGTCTGCAGTGAAGCTTCTTCAGTCAGTCCTAAGAGGCCCAGAGACTGTGAGGTTAGCCTTAACCCTTCTCTCAGGTTCCGCAGGGAAAGAACTCTCCTCTGTCCACCTGGCAAGTTGGAAGGCTGCCCCATTTGTGCTTTAAGACCAAAAGATTCTCTGTATTCCCAAAGCACGGACATCATGAAAGCCAGCTCATGGTACAAACATGGCTCACTCTTATTTCCCCACTATCCCTCCCTCATGTGTCAACATAAATTCATTCCTCCTTCCCCATCAGCAGCTTTTCCCCTTGGTCTTTAGTAATACTACAAATCCAAAGTTCGTAAACGTGATCCACAACGAGGTTGCAAGAAAGCTTTTACAAGTGAATATCACAGTTGACGTATTTGAAATCCTATGTCTCGTAATGACAACTGAGTTTTCTGAGCCAAAGATCATAAGGATGGCCTCATGGATGTGTTTTCTTAGTTTCTAAATGTAGGCATAGGAGGAGTCTCACACATATTTATTGTACTCAGCAATCAAAACACAGGTCAAGAAATAGCCTTACAGGAAAGTAACCCTTTTGCACACACCAAAATTCCACGGAGAAGTCTAGACTGTAAACTGCTGGCTGGTGACCATCCACGCCCTTCCTAATCTGCTCTCTGAGGCTTGTGTGGAACAGGAGAACCCAGGCAGAATGACTGACACATGATTGCTGGCCAGGCTCAGAAACAATCTTGGGCTCTTCAGTCAAGATGCCAAAACAATCAGCTGAAAGCCGAAGCTTCAGTCAATCAAACTGCTGTTTGTTCTACATGATAGCGTTATGTAAAACAAACAATCTACTTGATTGATTTCTTTTGGAGTGAAGTGAGTGAAATTCCACTTCACGGCAAATGCAGCCTCAGTCTCTAGCACCAACACTTAAGTGCCAGAAAATGTCCCCACATCGCAGCCTGCTCCTCATCCCTGCTGTCACTCAGAGCTCCATGACCTGCATTGAGTTGTTTAATGCTCATCGGTGAAGTAGGGCAGTCAGCTTTCTTCTCAAGGCTGGGAAAGGGAAACGAGGCTGACAACCGTGCTCAGAACTTCTTCTTTGGCCTGGATTCTCTGCAGCTCTCTTTCCTCCTCCCTTTATTTTCCAAGGCCCAGGGATGATCCATAGGGATGTTCTCAACATTCCTATGTCAAAACCTGCTCTTCTTAAACAGGCTTCTGGGCACCCATGCTTCAGAAATGTCAGAGGGTCAGCTGTTCTCCTGCACAGCTACACAGCCGAAGGACGCCAGATGACAGAGCAATGACCACAGGACCAACATTCTGCATTAAGCATCCACTGTATGTTGAGCTCCTCCAGATGTTTATGTGTCCCCCCCACCTTACTCCTAAGAAAATTTCCAGAGGGTTCCATTATGCAGGTGAAGAAATTATTCTGAAAGGGTTGGGTTACTTAACCCTAAGGTCTGTTCTGTGTGCTCACCTCCCATGCAGCTCATGAGGCAAAGCTCTGATCGCTCAGCCACGTCCTTCATACCCGGGCACCTATGGAAGTCAGCTCGCATGGCCTCCCAGGACCTGGCTGGCCTCGTTCCCACTGGGAGCAGCTGTCTTCCTGAGCTACTCCATTTGTATTTGTTTGCGGGAGATTCTAAATTACTGTGGAGAAGATTCATTGTGTGAGCTCACAGAATCGCATTGCCCCTTCCCTAAAGAGGAGATGTGGGCTGTCTGTTTTGTTATTGAGCAGCACTATACCACCAGTTATCCATGCAATGCTCTGTGTTGATGCTGTTATATGGTTCCACATCTAACCCTCAAAACAATCTTTGGATTAGGTATTATTATTTCTATTGTACAGATAAAGTCGGCATTTTAAGCAGTGAAGCAACCTTCCCAGGGCCCCAGACCTCAGAGCCTGTTCTCTTGGCTATTATTCTGTCATATAGCAGCTGATGTCCCTTTCTGGGTATCCAGCTCGTGCACAATCAGCTCATGACATCACTGTCTCTGTTTCTCATGAACAAGACCTTCCCCAGAGCCCCACCCCATGCTTCCCACTAAGAACTGCAGGTACAACCCAGTCTTCAGGCAGGAGGTCAGCTGCTGCGAAGGATCTGCAGGTATCAGTTCCTGCTCCTCTGGCAGTGGTGTCCTGTGAGTGGAGGCCTCTCTGTCCTCCTGTGAGAGCAGAGGAGTATTTTCTGGGGACATTCTACCCCTCAAAGTACAAAAGGGAAGGCTCAGGCATACTCTGTTAATTACCTCAAATCGTTTGGACTTTCCTTCTATGAATTAGGATAGAGGAAACCAAAGTTCCTCCAGTGGCTCGTAGTGTGAACTATTTGAAAGGACCATGGTGGTGGTGTTATTTCATTGAGGTTCTCTTGCAGGCGTAAAGTAGCTACTCTTCCCCTCTCGTGCTCTAACTCTAATTCATGTTTAAGGACAGAGCCTTCCAACTCCCTTCCCCTCACCCAGGGGCTGTGGGATCAGTGCTGTCTATATCTTTGACGAGTGGCGGAGCTCAGTTCACAGTGGATAGATGACCCAATCAGTGCCTGTTGAATAAGGGAAATATGTACACCCTGTGATTCATTTCCTTCTGCTCTTGTGCTAGTGGGAAGACACACCCCAACTACACTCCTGAAGCTTTGATGTTCTCAGATCTCCCAATACAGTTGCGTGCCACTTAACAATGGGCTCAATTCTGGGAAAAGGTGGCTGGCAGCTATTTTTTCACTTTGGGAACATAACAGCACAACTTACACAAGCTGACATAGTATGCCCTTCTCCACACTCAGGCCTATTGTGGGCTGTTCCTCCTAGGACAATGACGAACAAAACAGCACCACAAGATCAAGTCGAGGACAAGAGACAGGATACAGTCAAGAGTAGTAAACACAAGACATTGAAGCTGCTGCCAGCATAATGTTCACTATTTTATAGTGAACTTTTTTCCACAAATAGAAGCACACCCTAAAATAATGATTAAAATGTGGGTTATAAACCATTACCAGTCTTTTATGATCATTGTCAAGTATTATGTACTACACATAATTACACGTGCCACACTTCTACACAGCTGGCAGCGCAGTAGGTACACATACTCCAGTGTCACCCCACACATGTGGGCGATGTGTTGCACCAGGATATCAACACTTGCATGATGCCACAAGGAACAGGACATTTCCATAATCATCTCCTGGACCCGCTATTGGGCATGCCATGGACGCTTGACTGAAGCATCTTTACACAATGCCTGACTTTATTAGTTCATCATTTTCTGAACCACTGGCCTGGGCGGCATCCCAGAGAAGCAGCCAGGGCATGTGGCCTGGCCTTCTTTCCTGCTTCCTTGTAAAGCCAGGCCCTCCAGTCTAGGGGGTTACAACCTTGGCCACATCCCATGCCACAGGACAGGTCTGTTTCACTCCTAGAGGCTCTACTCTCCTCATATCGGTTCTTGACCACTTCATTGCCAGGATTTTACTAAGTATTAAAAAAACACTTAATGTTTTTTATTTCCTGGTATGCTGGCCAGAAGTACTTTTATAATAACTTGGTCTCATTGAATCTCCCAGAAAGCGAATGCTACATCATTGGGGTCCATGCTCATGAAGAAGTACTCATCTTCTATAGTCATCAGAGTCTCTGGTCACTCACTGACCACTTCCATCTGCTCATATCCTGATGACTTTCTCTGAGGATGTTTTTCTCTTAGGGATATATTTGTTTGGTTACATAATAGGGCCCTGAGTCTCAGACACAGCCTCACACTTCCTGATTTATTCTTGCAAGCCAGGGTTTCATCATGAGCTGAAAGATATTCATTAAGATCTGATCTTCAACCATATCATGTATCACTGCAGGCTGTGGCCCTCTGAGTTGTACACAAGTGACTGACACCGCTAATGGTCTACTGCAATATTATGGTGAACAGGTGAATGTAGCTTAGCGGTAAACATCTCTAGGAACCCGGCACTTGCAGAAGGCAGAAAATACAGTGTGTATCACTGAAAACCTGCTCTCAGTAATTTGAAATGCACAAACTTCTGTGAGAGGTTGTCTTCTGGCTTCCAGTTTGGGGACCCTTGAGTCAGTGGGGTTTTCTTTTTCACAAGCAAACGTATTAGAAGGAACGTTCAGGGCTGAAGAAAAGATACTACCCTTTTGTGACTTCACCTCCCAGATTATCACTGTCTTTTAGGGATTCCTGGCCAGAGGTCTTTGGGAGCAGATGTCAGAAAGCCCATCCTAAAGGAATCCTTTGGTGGTGTGGGTCCTGATCTCTTCTAGAAGCAAAAGATGGCACTCAACTCTCTCAGACATGGTGTGCATTCAAGAGTTGCTCAAGAGATGGGACAGAAAGAACATAACTAAAACTAAAACATGTTAGACTGAGTGACATTTTAAGGCTGAGAGTTTAAAAGAAATATCTACCTCCAAAAAGGTCACTGCTCTCATTCACCTTTTCCCTGACAGTGAAGATGTGCTGCTGCTGAGCATTCAGTCACCTCTGCTGTCTCTGCAGGGAGATGGTCAGTGTTGTGCCCCACACTTCCTAAACCTTCCGGTCTTCTCAGTATCATGGGCTGAATGCTGTAACCTCAGATTCTTGTGTTGAAGCTCTAACCCTCAGGGTTTCAAAAGGTGGCAGTATTAGGAGATGAAACCGTTCTCTTTTTCTTAACTTATACCCCAAAATAACAAAACTATACATATCAATGAGGGTAATGCAATGTTTTAATTCATGTATACATTGTGTAATGTTTTTTTTTTTGTTTTGTTTTTTTTTTTTTTTTTTTGGTCTTTTTCATTTTTATCGGTACCAGGGATCGAACTCACGACTGCCTGCTTGCAAGGCAGGCGCTTATGCCGCTGAGCTAAATCCCCAGCCCCCATTGTGTAATGTTTAAAGAAGGTAACAGATCTATCTCGTCAAATATTTGCCCTTTTCTTCTAATGAAAACATTCAAAATCTTTCCTCTAGTTTTTTGACATGTACAGTAGTGTTACATATTTATAGTCACTGAACTACGCAATGCTCACCAGAACTTCTTGCCCTTGACTGTAACTGATTTGCTTCCCCATCCATCCATCTTTCCTGCTCCCTCCAGTGCCTATTAACCCATCATTCTACTCTCAACTTCTATGATATCAACCTTTTTATATTCCACGTATGGATACGGTCATGTGGGACCTGTTTCTGTGCCTGACTTAGTTCACTTAACACAATGATCTCCAGTTCCATCTATGTTGTTACTCTTTATTTTCCACTGTGTGTGTAAATGTAAATGTGTGTGCAAATATCTTTATTTTATTCATTCATTCATGAGTTAATAAATCACTGGGTGTATTCTATATCCCAGCAATTAAGAACAGTGTTGTTGAACATGGAAATGGAAATGTCTCTCTGGTGTATTGATTTCATTTCCTTTGAATATATACCCAACAGTGGAGTCTCTGGATAACAGAGTAGCTCTATATTTTGAATCTTCTGAGAAACCTCTATACTATTTTCCATAATAGCTGCTTTAATTTGTAATCCCACCACCACCAATGTGTATGCGTTGCTTTTTGCAGTAGGTCCCTTAGTTACTTTTCTCTAGTTGTTGAGATAAAATACCTGACGCCCAAGAAGAAGGAAGGAAGGTTTATTTCTTACAGTTCTTGGGGGTTTCAGTTCATACTCAGTTGGTTCCAAGGAAAAATGACATGTTGGGACAGCCATTCATAGCTGCTGCAAATACCAAAGCGCAAACCGAGGAAAAGAATGAAAGACATGCCTTCTTCCCGCCCTTACATTGTATGTTGGCTCCACCCCTGGGTGGGTGTAGCACTCATACTACCAATCAGAGCGCTAGACAACAAACCAATCATGAACGCTAAAAAACAAACCAATCAGGAACAGTAGACTCAGCTGCGTGCATGATTACATGAGGCTTGAGGTGGGAACCACAGGAAAACAAATCATAACAATCCTGTAAAGATGTGATTAAGTTAAAACGAAACCATTAGAGTCACTAATCTATTCTGACTGGTATCCTTGTAAGAGGAGACTAGGACACAAAGAGACCAGATGAGGCTATGCGTAGAGGAAAGACCACAGGAGGACACAACGAGGAGGTGGCCACCCACAAGCTAAGATGGGAGACTTCAGAAGAAATCAGCCCTACTGACACCTTGATCTCGAGTCTGTAGCCTCCAGCTTCCAAAACAGTATGTTTCTGTTGTTGAAGCCACCTGTGGTATTGGTATAAATCCCAATAATAAATACATTCAGGTTAGACTTTCAGTACATATGCTTTCAAGGTACACTTTGTCTGTAATAGTTATAGAGCTAGACTTCTAAATGCCAGTCCCTTTTAATTAAATTGCCAATATCACTAGGTCATTATTTTTCAACATTTTTTATATATATGGTTAAAATATGGGACTTTAAAACAAGAAGACAGTTATCTGAATCCACTGGGGCTCACGACCAGGCTGGGATCACTTGTCTGACCTTTGACTCCAGCCAGAGGACATATGTGCCTTTCCAGTGCCTTCAACCACTCCACAGGTCCATACCTGTGATGTCACCCCACTTTGTTTCCTACGTTAATTACTGGAGACAGAGATGATTGTCTAAAAATATGGAGCTACAATAACAGATGTTACATGCACACCCTGAAAGAGGGCGAGTAGTACTAGGATATTCCTAAGAGGTCCCCATAAAATATTGATGTAAGATGTGTAGTGAATGGAAAAGAAATCAAATGAGAGAGAACCTAGGATTTGTGTAACAATCCCACATTCTTTTTCTCTGGCGTTTCATATTACTTAATAACTCTGAACTTGTGTTCCATAGGAATACAATCACATAAGTCAAAATCTAGACTAACAAACTGACAACAAGGCTCTTGTTATAGTTACTTACCTCCACCCAGGACTGTTCACTTCATTCATTCATTTGCTATGCCTACTTTTCATTAAATTTCCCTGATTCTGGCCTGTAAAAGTCCTACAGGGAATGCCGACATTTTCAAAAAGGCAGCAGGGAATAAATGAAGTCAAAGTGAGAGAAAAGATGATCAAAGTCATGTGGCTGAAGCCACAGCCTGTATTTTGCAGCTCTGTCTTTGCTCCCTGTGCAGTACACGGCATGGTGCTAGGCACTAACCCTCTTCTCACAGCTGATCAAGGGCAGAATCAGGACTGTAGGACCATGGGGGTACCCCAAATCATCTGTGCTTTTGACTTGAAGCAATTAACTACAGTTTAAATGCTGGGAAGGAAAGCTTGGTTCTTCTCAATATCAGTTAGATTAGTCAATTTATATAAGCTGATTGAAGAACTAATGTTTGCCATATGTGGTAATATTATCTTTCTAGATGAAAAACCAAGTGAACTCAGTGATTGTACCTACATGGAAGTGAACCAAAATGAGTGAGTCTTATTCAACTTGGATATGAGAGAGATTATATTTCATGGGGTGTATTTTGTTTTATTTTTCGACACAAAGTTTGTCCTAGGGGGTGGTATCAAAAGGAAATTTTCCAGAAGAAAATGTGTCCAAGTATTCCGGAGGACCCCAGTTATTTCCTAAGGGCATTTAGCCAATTAGGGTCTGCCTAGAATATTAGAGAAATTTTCTGCAAATTTTGATAGCTATTTGGAAACAGAGATGTAGCTTCCCACCGAATGCTTGATTAAGGAATAAATTAGAGCCTGGAGTAATTAAATTCGACCACCATAAATCACAGAACAAAAGCTCAGAAAATCCCTCTTGAACACTAAAAGGGTGAAGCAATTCTTGGGCGATTTCTGTTCATGGCTTTGCCTCGTGGTTCAAGAGTACTTTTTGGGTCAGGTAATTGTTGTACCCTAAGAAAATAGCTTTGTTATATGTGTATTATAGCAAACCTGTATAGGGGCTTACTAAATGTGTTTGTTTTATCCTTTTTCCCTAACTGATATGTTAAGGGACCTAATTGATCTGTTGAGCAACACTCTCCTCTGTAAAGAATTGCAAGAATCTCACCTAATTGATATGTTAACCATTGTTGCCCTCTACAAACTACAGAAGCTGTGCTAAAACAAGCTAACAAGGGTTGTTAATCACTGCTAGGAGCCTCTATTCTCCACTAAAGAGCTAAGGAAAACTAGAATGGCAATTAATTTACATTTGTTTAAAGTAACCTGCTTGTGTGCAGAGAGATTTGCGTGTGAGTTTAACCCTTTACCCTGACCTTGACACATTACCGCCGTTTTCTGTTCTGTATGGCGCCTTATTGCCTCCCTCTCCCCTCACCTATCTATCTAGGCCATAAAGAATTTGGGTTTCTGGTGACCTCCCCCCGACCCGGTGATGATCTGTCGTAAAATGAGCCTGCCCCAATTTTAAGAACTGCTTAGCTTAAACAAATTACTGGGTAATACTATGGCCCAAACCCCAATCGGTGCTTTCCTTTTGTTCTGTATGTATCAAATGAGTTAGATATCAGGTCTTCGTAAAACTTAAGTTCCAGCGTCTCATAACTTGTGACCCCTTCGCACTCACTAGCGAAGACAAGCTGTCCTGAGATAATTAACTGTCCACTTTCTTCTCCAAATATTGCCGCAGACGTGCCACTCTGAGATAATGTCAGTCTGCAGGATGGAAATAATTTTTAAAAAACACCAGAAACTCCCTAGATTGTCAGAGCTAAGTGGACAGCAATACAGTTTCCAGACTCGGGTCAACAAGTTTGATGGCTCTACAGGTTTCTTTGTTTCTCTCCCCCCACCCTTTCCTCCAGCCCCTTTTTAAAGTCCTCCCTGCAGCTTCTAGGGGACAGTCTCCAAATTGGCTCCCGGAGACTGGTCGCCAGGCCTGAAAATAAAGCCTTTGCCACTAAATTTTCGGTCTCTTGCCTCCTTGGATTTTATACCGGGGCTCAAGTTATAACATTTGGGGGCTCGCCCGGGATGGAAGCAAGACCCCAGACTCATTTCTGAACATTTGAAAGTAAGTGCTCTGGAGGATTTGTTTGGGCCGCGGTCAATTTGTAATTTTGAGGGGACGCCCTCAATTTGGGAGCGGGAACCACCCGAGGACAGAGTCAGTTGGTTTGTAGGACAAATTCTGTCCATTTGTGACTCTGCCCCGGGTGGGGAACAGCTCCGTTTGGAAGGGGACGCCCTTGATTTGGGAAGTGAAACCTCCTGAGGACAGAGTCAATTGGTTTTTGCCATTTGTGACTCTGCACCGGGTGAGGAACCACTCTGTTGGTTAATTTGTTAATTCCTCCAAATCCCAAAATTTGACTAATTTTTGGGCAAAGGCCATTTTTGCTGCAGCTTGTCTCGTCTTGTGTGTCTGTTTGTTTGTCCATTTGTTCTAATTGTTCTCCTTTTGGTTACCCTAAATCTAACAGAACATTCTCTCCTAGGAACCCCTTCTACGAGCCCAGAATGGACAAAGGGATTTAGATATTGATGTGCAGTGTTTTTGTTCTTTAAAATTGTTTGCCTGTTTGGATTTGTTATTAACTTAGGGGCTTGTTGCCCATTTCTGTTGCAGGATCCATATGGCTTATTAGATTCAAGCTTCATAATAAGAAAAATTATTTCCTTTAGCTCACCAAACTGTGCAAAAAGCACCCTTTATTTGTGTCTTTAATGTTGTGGCGCCTTGTTTAATATGTAAGTCTTCAACTGATTGCTTGCAACCTTGGCATGCCTTTTAAAAGGAGTATTTTTCTTTCTGGTTAAAAAGTAAATATATGTGCACATATATGTGTATATTTATGGTTTTTAAGAATCATATCAACTTTACCAAGTAAAAACCAGGTCATACTGTAATTGAGCCAGTTAAAAGGTTATAGCTTTAAAAAACCCCAGCATTTTAATGTGGTAAAAAGACATAAAATTAATTAAATATGTTTTAGACTACTAGAAGGTAACTTCAAGGGTTTTGTTGAGAGTTTTAATGTTGTCTGAGAAGCGAAAAAAAAAAGATAATTGACTGGTGATAGTAAAAAGGAGGGACAAAGAAAGTGGTTTGTCTTCAAGTAAAATGTCTGCTGTGCCAAAATGTAAAAAAAAAGATAAAACTTAGAGGTATATTGTAAGTTATAAAAAGCTCGAGATGATATAAATTTTGTCTTGGTTTATAGTACTGAAGACAACAGGTTTGACAAGAAGTAAATGTGTTCAAAGTTTGACAGTATTGGATCAGTTTTGATAGATTTATTTATAAGATTCTAAACCTTTGCTGCAAAGTGTTTCCATTAATATGAGATTATAGATGATAATAGAGATAAGATATAAGTTTTCACATGTGCTGTGGACCTCTGGGAGATTATATGGCACAATTTTGTTACCGATAAAAAAGCTTCTTTTTGTTAAGTATGTAATTTCAGTAAAATGATGGCCTGCCAGGTGGCACCCTGGGACAAAAGGTGGTGTGCCATCCAGATAAAGCCTGCTGTCTGATATGGAGTGCCAAAACCATGTTGTCCTTTTGTCCCAAGCCGATTGGACATCCAGAGGTAAGGAGGTTTCCCTAGTATCGCCAGTTGGTCTCTTTGCAACTCAGTCGGCCCCACATGTTAGAAAAAAGATTACAAAGGTTTGAGAGTTTAAAAAAAAAATGCCCCTCAGCCAGTTGATAGAGATAGCACAAAAGGTCTTTTAAAACTAAAAAAATTACCGTCTACTGGGAAATTTGTCCAGCGTACCTGAGTCCTCACAACTGACTTAGAGTTAAAACTGTTGGGCAAATGGAATCAGGAGATTCCAGAAGTCTGGGCAGAAGACAATCCTCCAGGGCTAGCAGTCAGCCAAGTCCCCCTTCTGATGGAGCTCTTACCCCAAGCATGCCCCTTCTGCTTGTGACAATGCCCGATAAGCCTGCAGGCCCGGAAAGGGATTTAAAGTCCACATGCAGAGGCTAAGAGACAATGATATTCTCATTCCTTGTGTCTCTCCCTGGAACATGCCCTTGCTTCTAGTCACTGAAGCCAGGGACAAATAACTATCGCTCTGTACAGGATCTCGGAGAGTTAATACATGAGTTCTGAGTCTATACCCAACAGTGCCAAATCCTGAGAACACCTGGTACTCTGTTCTGAATCTGAAAGATGCTTTCTTCACTTTGCCACTTACTCTGGTGAGTCAACTCCTTTTTGCCTTTGAATGGACTGACCCAGATACGGGGGTAAAAAAACAGCTGACCCGGACACATTTACCTCAGGGTTACAAGAACTCTCCCACTCTTTTTGATGAGACATTAACAAGAGATCTTTTAAAATTTAAAAAAAAAACACCCTAAGATAGTGCTCCTCCAGCACATGGATGACTTGTTAATAGCCTCGACCCCCACAAAAGCTTGTAAGCTTGTCGAGAGACAACTGAGAAACTGTTAAGGACTTTGGGGCAATTAGGCTATAAAGTCTCGACTAAAAGGGCACAATTGTGCTGTCAGGCCGTGACTCATCTGGACTACAAATTGCAAAAAAAAAAAAAAAAGGAGGATTTTGTCTAAAAAAGTGTCCAGGCTATATTGCAGATCCCATTCCCAGAAACTAAGAAACAGGTGCGCGAATTTCTGGGAGCTGTCGGATACTCCAGGCTGTAGATTCTAAATTTTACTGAAACAGCTCACCCCCTGTAGGGCTCCCTTAAGGAAAAAACTCACTAAACTGGACTGATAAATGTAAACTGGACCTTGCGGCAGCTCAAGTGGGCCTTGACAGAGGCCCCAGCCCTGGGACTCCCTGATGTTACCAAGCCATTCACTTTGTTCGTAGATGAACTCAGGGGCATTGCCAAAGGAGTCCTAACCCAGGACATTGGCTCTTGAAAGAGGCCTATAGCCTATCTTTCCAAAAGGCTCAATCCAGTAACAAGAGGGTGGCCTCCATGCCTAAAATTCTGGCCGCTGTGGCAATGCTACTTAAAAGAGGCCAAAAAAAAAAAAAAAAAACAAAAAAAAAAACAAAAAAAAAAAAACCTCACTTTTGGACAGAAGATTTCTGTAGTGACCTCCCACAGTTTAGAGACTCTTATCAAAACCCCTCCTGAAAATGTGAGTGCTAAAATCTCACACTATTAGGCCCTGCTCCTAGACCCAGAATTGATAGTTTTCAAGACTTCTTCAGTTTTAAACCCAGCCACCCTTATGCCTGACAACGACCTGAGAAATTTCACAGATGGAAGCAGCTTCATCCAGAACGGCAGAGGCAGATGAGTGGCCGGGGCAGCAGTGACCACCAAAAGGAGGTACTCTGGGTTAAGCGGTTAGAGCCTGGCATCTCTGTCCAAAAGGTGGAGCTCATTGCTTTGACTGAGGTACTAAAACTAGCCACGAAAAAGAGGGTAAACATCTATACAGATAATAGATATGCTTTTGCTACTATACATGTACATGGAGCCATCTATTAAGAGCGAGGTCTCTTAACCTCGGCCAGGGCAAAGATTTAAAAAAAGGGGGGGTGGCTCCACAGATCCTAGATTTGCTGGCAGCAGTCTGGCTGTCGGCAGATTGCTGCTATTCACCTGAAGAAACACTTTGGCAGATCAGGCCTCTCAAAGAGTAGCAATCACATCAGAGGGGCCAGCCGAGAAAGTAACTGCTCTGATGCGAGTCCCCCCGACCTTGTCAAAACCAGTCTACACAAAGAAAGACTGCACTGGTTGTTGTGAGCCATCTAACAGATTCCAGTCCCTGTGACTAAAAGACAAGTGCAAAATTTCTAGGAGCCACAGGACTGATCCAGAGTTTGGGACCCTGGCAGAGGTCTGTTGTCTACCTTTCCAAGACACTTGATTCTGTAACAACCAGATGACCACCCTGTCTGTGGTGATTTCCTCAGTGGCCCCCTCATAAAGGAAGCTTAAAAATTGACTTTTGGACACAAACTCTTGTTTCTTCCTGTTCCCTGGAGACTCTCATCAAGGCCCCATCAGACTGCGGATGTCTAATTCCTGAGCCATACATTATCAGGCACTATTTCTGGAAACAGCGGCTTCAAACTCTGGCTACTTTGCTGCCTGAGGATGACCCCTCGTTGCCTCACTACAATTGTACTGAGGTCATTGATCACCTCACGGGACTTCGACCTTATCTAGTGGATAAGCCATTATCTAGAGTTCCATCCTACTTCTCTGATGGAAGCAGCTACGTCTATCAAGGTAAGCGGGTCTTGGGAGCTGCCGTTACACAAAATCTCAGGTTCTATGGGAACAAATCTTAGAGCCAGAGACATCAGCATAGTGGGCTAAACCCATTGCCCACACTGAGGCCTCAAGTTGTCTTTATCAAAAATGGGGTTTATTGTCTTCTGGAGTCAAAAGATTAAATTGCTCCCCAAATTTGGACTTGTTGGCTGCCATCTAGATGCCAAAGAGAATGGCTACTATCTGCTGTATAAGCCATTGGGCAGAAGATGATCCTGTTATAGAAAAAAATAATTTGACAAATGCCACCTTCCAAAAGATAGCCAAAAAGCCCCAAAATCAGTGGGGATTGAGATAAGCTTGACATTACTGCTGATCCCACCTATTTTCTTTGTCAGAGCCCATTTACACTTAAAAAGACCAGCATCTGGCAGCTCAACTTCCGAGAGATTCCCGGGGGCTAATATCAAGCTAGCCCAGTCTGTGAGCTTCAGATGCCCTCAGTGCCAATTGGTAAATCTAAAAGTACTGCAACAAATAAAAACCACTGGTTATCGTGAGACTATGCCTAAAAACACTAAAAAATAGATTTTACAAAAATAAAAAGCCTCAAACTTCAAGGATATAAATGTTATAATGGTTGATACTTTCATTAGATGAGTAAAAGCGTTTTCTACTTAGTCTGAGTCAGCTCTGATAGCAGTTTCCCTGATTTGGTCTCCCTTTTTACCCATGGGGTCCGACAATGGCCTGGCTTTTATAGCCTAATAACTCAAATTAACCTAAGCTTTGCAGATCAATTAAAAACTCGATTGGGCTTACCAGCCTCAGAGTTCAGGAGAGGTAAAAAGATAAGTTAGATTTTAAAGACTATAATTACTAATGGCCTTAAAAACTGGCGAAAACTGGGTAAGTCTCTTTTCCTTCTGCCCCTTTGTGTGCGTGATGCATCCCCTATGTTGCAGATATTTCCTCTTTTGAGGTTTTATATAAGAGATCTTCCTCTTATCATTAAAGGTTTCTAAAAATTAGCTGATTTAACTAATCAAGATCTTATTAAGTCTCCCCCAGACTTTTCAGCCAGCTCTGACTTCCATCCACTGGTTATTTCGCTGCTGCCCACTGCGAGCTAAAGAGCCTAGGCACCTAGACAAGCAACTTCACCATAAATCACTTGAGCTGCAATGGACTGTCAAAGTAGCTGAAAGCCTGCCTGGATTCAACGTTCCCACTACAGACAGGTCCCAGCTTCAAAAGACCATTAGCCTGCGGATAAATAAACTGTCATTTCTTCCAAGGACACTTTAAAGCTTAAGATTGTCTAATATAACTGATAATTTTGTGTTCTCCTCTTTTGTAGAGACCCCTAAGAGGCCTCTGTCTGACTTAAAAATTGTTACTTGTATGATAAAACAGAGTAAATTTAAATGTTGGTTTTCTTTCTCCTTTTCGTTAACAGCTTTAATGACATCTACAAGACCTTTGTTAATCCTCCTACTGGGCCTTGTGTTGTAAACAAGTTGATAAACTATGTCAAAGTTCTTAAAAGCTTATAATTTTAAAGACACATACAAGGTTATAAACAGATGCTAAGGAGTCAATGATTTGACACAATGACTAAAATCAGTGGGGAATGTTGTACCCTAAGAAAATAGCTTTGTTATATGTGTATTATAGCAAACCTGTATAGGGGCTTACTAAATGTGTTTGTTTTATCCTTTTTCCCTAACTGATATGTTAAGGGACCTAATTGATCTGTTGAGCAACACTCTCCTCTGTAAAGAATTGCAAGAATCTCACCTAATTGATATGTTAACCATTGTTGCCCTCTACAAACTACAGAAGCTGTGCTAAAACAAGCTAACAAGGGTTGTTAATCACTGCTAGGAGCCTCTATTCTCCGCTAAAGAGCTAAGGAAAACTAGAATGGCAATTAATTTACATTTGTTTAAAGTAACCTGCTTGTGTGCAGAGAGATTTGCGTGTGAGTTTAACCCTTTACCCTGACCTTGACACATTACCGCCGTTTTCCGTTCTGTATGGCGCCTTATTGCCTCCCTCTCCCCTCACCTATCTATCTAGGCCATAAAGAATTTGGGTTTCTGGTGACCTCCCCCCGACCCGGTGATGATCTGTCGTAAAATGAGCCTGCCCCAATTTTAAGAACTGCTTAGCTTAAACAAATTACTGGGTAATACTATGGCCCAAACCCCAATCGGTGCTTTCCTTTTGTTCTGTATGTATCAAATGAGTTAGATATCAGGTCTTCGTAAAACTTAAGTTCCAGCGTCTCATAACTTGTGACCCCTTCGCACTCACTAGCGAAGACAAGCTGTCCTGAGATAATTAACTGTCCACTTTCTTCTCCAAATATTGCTGCAGACGTGCCACTCTGAGATAATGTCAGTCTGCAGGATGGAAATAATTTTTAAAAAACACCAGAAACTCCCTAGATTGTCAGAGCTAAGTGGACAGCAATACAGTTTCCAGACTCGGGTCAACAAGTTTGATGGCTCTACAGGTTTCTTTGTTTCTCTCCCCCCACCCTTTCCTCCAGCCCCTTTTTAAAGTCCTCCCTGCAGCTTCTAGGGGAGTCTCCAAATTGGCTCCCGGAGACTGGTCCCCAGGCCTGAAAATAAAGCCTTTGCCACTAAATTTTCGGTCTCTTGCCTCCTTGGATTTTATACCGGGGCTCAAGTTATAACAGTAATCAGCAGAAAGGCTATGTGGGGACCCTCTGTGACATTTGGAAATTATGGGATGTCATGTCGCCTGATCCTTGAAGTCCCACTTCCCATACTGAGCCTAACTTTTCAATGTGTGTTTCCTCTCATAATTCATAAGAAATAAAAGAGCTTACATTCTTTTTCTCTTCATTTACCACATGGATTAAATTAAATCAAATGTTAATTCCACACAAAAAAATTAAACAAAGGAAAAGCTTCTTTATTCAAATATAAAATTCTGTTGTTGCCCTATGTGTGTTATAGCTGTTGAATGGGACAGAAGAATAAATGAGGGTTTTATAAGTGAAATGCACAAAACAAGGCTATTTCAAACTGATGCCCTCCCCCTCCCCCATTCCCACCCTCCTTTTAAAATAGATTTTGGAGAACCTCTGCTATCCTGCACAAGGCAAATTGTGATAGAAGCATTCATCCCCTTGTTCTTTGTTTCCTTCCTAGTTCCTTTAAAAATGTTTTTTACCTTGTTTCCCAGGTTCCCCCAGTGTTTCCTTTCATGCACAAAAGCACTAGGTAGAAATGTGTCAGGGTCACCCCCAGACGGCACCCCTGGGAATCCACACCAGACAGCTGGGAAAATCTGTAGTTCTGTGCTCAGCTCTTGAGTTCCGGGGTCCCCGCCCACACCCCAGGGCTGTAGTCCCTCCTGGGCCCCAGGCGGTGGCCCAGTCCTACTGCACAGGCCACTCCAAGATGCAGTTTAACCTGTCACCTGTCCAGTATTTACTCCGTTCTTTCAGCCTCTTGTCTGGTGGCTGGGCCCTAGTCCCTCTCTAAACATAAAAAGGAAATGAAATGTCATCTATAGCAGCTCTGCAGAGAGAAAATTCCTTTTTACAGCTTCAAGTCAGGGAAGGGGATTATTGAAAATGTTGACCAAAACTAAATTTTAAATCTGCTCGTGGCATTTTATTTTCCCCGCTTGCTGTGCTAGGTGTGCTAGGTGATCATAGATTTCTGAATGTCTTTAAACAATAACCATTCTTTATTCATCTGAAAGTGCGCTATAATTCACAGTCTAAGCTTTGCCTCCTCACAATGATTTGAGAGACGGCGACCTAGGAAGTCTTGGCATTGAATTTGTCCTTCGGTATTACAGGCTCCTCGGGCCGATGGATTTGGTTTTAGTGCACACAGCAGCTATGGGTCTTATTATGAAGGCAAAACTATGCAGCCCATCCAAGGAAAGCTTGTCAGTTGCCGTATGATTTGCTGAAATGCAATCACACAAACGTCAGGAGTGGATTGCTTTTTATTCCCGCTGGCACTAAGGGAATTTGCTTTGACATTTCAAAAATCTGCATCACCGATGGGGTGAGGGGCAGGGTTATTAAATGTGCCAACACCTTCTCTCTGAAGTGGTGAGAGAGCTGGCAGCTCATTTCATTGCTTGTATAACGGGTGCTCTTCGGCGTTGGATACAGGATGCACTACGTGACTTTCAAACCTTTGAGAAGCCACAGCCCTGCTGGAAGGATGACCAGGTAAGCCCTGGTCTGCTTTACATCCCTCTAAACATACGGCAGCACATGATGAGGGACTCTTCCACCCAGAGGAGCTCTCTGCCTTGGGTGGTCACAGCATCTCGGGAGCCTTCTCTGGGGTAGGATTTATTATCGGGCCGAGGCAAATGCAGGTCTCAGGAGCCCTTCCTTGCAGTGAAGGTGAATAACTTCATGTTTAAACCAGAGCAGAGGCCACGCATGCAGCTCTCCAGGCTTCAACTGGGAGTTGTAATGTGCATGCAGGGCGGCTCAGGACAAGGGTGGGTGTGACTTTCCTTTCCACTTCTTGTTTCTGTTTGGAGGACCAAACTCTGTATTCACTGTCCCATCACTGTGCAATCAACAAGCCTAGGAGATGACTTTCCTGCTATCCTATAGCTTGTAAAAGGTGCCAAGGCAGGGGACTGCTTGCATTTTTTAGTAAGACTCAGAATGTCCCAGTTTCTTGGGACTCATTAACCTTCCTCAGAATTATCTAGATCCTAAGTCAGTAAGACAAGTCAAGAAAGCAAGGCTTCTGTGCCCAACCAACTGTGCCACTGCCTCACCCCCTGTGTCCCTGTAAATATTACAAAAAGTACAGGTCACTAGGATACAAAAATCCATGAAGACAGATCAAGCACAAAGCTTGACTTTTCTAACAGTTGCTCAATAAATGTTTTCACTCAGCAAGCATTTGCTAAGTGCCTCTGGTGGACCAAGTGTGTGTTGCTTACTAAACATGCAGTGATAAACAAAGCCAGGTAGAGTGACTGTCTTCAAGCTTGCAGTTCAGTAGATGCTGGGTAAACATGTAAGGTCATGCACAAAACATGAAGGGAAGCCAGGACCACGGCAAGAGAATTCCCACGTGAGTTCACAAGTGCGTGCTCTCTCCATCTCCCACTCATTCACAAGTGTTTGTTGAGCATTTGCATAGTGTCATCCTCGGTGGACAGGTGCCAATGACACAAGCATGAATAAAATGTGATTCCTGGCCTCCAGAATCTCATAGAATGGCAAGGAGAGGGACGAATGAGGTAATAGTAACCATGCATCATAGGTAATATATGAGTGCATAAAACAGGCGATATAATAATGTATAAAATACTAGAGGAGCACAGCAGTGAGAGCCACTAACTTTCTCATTATGTCACTTGGGGTATTAATAGATGATTGAGTTTTTTTTTTCCAGAAAGACAAAGTAGGAAATAGCAATCCAGACAGAAAAGAGGTGGCGTGAGCCAAGGCTGCACATATGGAAGCGTGCTGTTTAGAAGGACTGGGAAGAGGGTAAGAGACAGATGCGTTATACAGGAGGGAAACGAGGTTGGGAAGTTACAGCTTGAAAGATGTGCTAAAGTATTACCTTCATCTGCTTGGACTGCCTTCACATATGCCACTGATTGGGCAATTGGAACAGAAGTTTGTTTTTCACAGTTCTGCAAACTGAAAGCTGGGGAGGGATCAGAGGGCAGCAAGGTGAGGTTCTGGTGAGGGCTGCCTTCCTGCTCGTAGATGGCCACTCTCTTGCATGGCCGGGCAAGAGTGAACTGCATGTCCCTTCCTGTTCTTATCTGGTCACTAATCCTGTCATGAGGCTCCATCCTTGTGACCTTGTCTGGCTCTAGGGCTCCTGACTCTATTTCCAAATATCATCACCTTAGTTATTAGGTCCTCAAAATGTGAATTGGAGATGGGGGACATAAAAATTCAGTCCATAATAGAGATGCATACTTTATTCTGCAGGTGGGGGGCATGGAGGGAGGAACCCAGTCCTCATATTCACATGCTGTGGAGGGGTGCTTTGGGAGCAGGAGTGTGGAAACAAAAGACCTGTTTTTCAGAAGTTTCACAATGCCACTTTCTCAGTAGTGTTCAGTCAGGAGGGGAATCTCAGGCGATGACGGCCAGTTGCTCAAGGGACACTCTGTGGCAAGCACATAAGAGCCAGGCTGAAAGAATAACTTCTTAGGGTCAAGGGAAACCAACTCCCTTCACATAGCAGCTGCCCTGGCACAGGAGCTGGAATCCTAGTGGCCAGAGACTGAACTCTGCAGCACTGGTCTTCTGTGCATTTGCGGTTCTTACCCTTCCTAGGGTTCACATCTAAAACTCCTCCTTTAGAGGACATCAACGGTTTCAATTACTCATAGCACTTGAAAGCTACTTTGAGGGGCAGATGGGAGCCCTGAAAAGACTAAATTGCAAACCGTTCTATCTCTAGCTACTGGGAAAGCAAACGACCTGGGTCAGTTCTTGGGTTCTGTTATCCCATTTTTATCAGCTCTTCAGCTCAGTGAGATGATCTCATCAATAATAAGCCTGCCAGCAGTATAGTAAGGTAAGGAAGCTGCTGGAATAGCACTTTCCTAGGAAAGGCAATGCCCTAGGCAGTGATAAATTATATCTTGGACAACCTCAAGACAGACCATCCATGAAAGTTCCAGGTGAGCTTTTAATATGGACCACCATAGAAAGAGGAGCTCCCTGGATCCTCTGTTTTATGGATTAAGGAAATAAAGTTAGGTGTGGGTGATTTAGGGTTTTATTTCTTAGCTTTGCCCTTCTCTTTCTCAGAGCCATGGGCCCAAGGAGGACATCCTCTGTGTGGTTCAATGCCCACTCTTTCTTCTGACCATCTCTAGTTATGATGGAGAGATTATCCTCTGGAATGTTCTCTCAGACCATATGTACTGCAAACTGAGCTCTCTTGGCCCCTTGGATGTCATGGACCCTGGAGAATGAGGGTCCATGAGAAGCAGGCTCTGAGCCACTCAGCACAGGCTCCAACCTGCTAAGCTGCAGGAGTCTCAGTTTTGGTGCCCACTTAAGAAGGCTTAGCCTGTTTTCAGGCTTTCCCCATCAGGTGGACACTGTCAAAGCTGGAAGGGAACTTAAAAGATTGACTAGCTTGGCCCTTACCCGTAAGCACCTGTCCACCAAAGCCCATCTCTCAGGCTAGCCCAGGACCTCCAGGAGCCCTTTGCTCATCCACTACCAACCAAGAGGACGCTCTGCACTCACCGAGCCCCTTTTTCTGAGCTCATCTCTTCCTTTTGTTTCTCTGCTTTCTATTACCACTTATCATGTGTGTCCTGTACACAGCTAGAAAGCTTGCCCTCCGCCCCCAGCCCAGCGCAGTCATCACGTCTTGGTGTCTCATCCAACTGAGAGTCTTCAGGCCTCTGTGCCTTCCTCATCCTCAGCCCCCTCTGATGGGCTGTGACCCATCATTCTCCCAGCTGGATCTGTGTTTACAACTTGTGTATTGTAATGCAAAACTCTCCCCCACCCATTTCCCTCAGTTTTCCTGCCTTGTTCCATTTCTTTGAGACTTTATTTTCTCTGCTAATGTGATCATGGGTTCATCTATTTATTTATTAATACTGATGAGCACCTGCCCTGTGCGAGGAGCAGTGCTACAGTTGGAGTTTAGAAATGGTAATCCCTTACCCTTCAATGCTAACCCACCTAATAAACAAACATAGGAAACAGAGGATTCAGATTTCTATCAGTTTCATTGCCGGTTATAGAGGATTAGAAAGCTGGCTGGAATTCACAGCCAAAAGGGTTTTCTCCTTACAAATGTTCTTTACCTCCAGAGTTGTCTTAGTTACTTTTCTCATTTCAGATACAAAGTACTCAACACCCAAAGTTAAAAGAGGCAAAGTTTATTTAGCTTGCAGTTCATAGAGATTTCAGTTCATAATGGGCTGGCTCCAAGGCAGGGAGGCTTGACAGACAGGTGTCACAGAGGAGAAAGAGTTCATGGCAGGCAGCAGGCAGCAAAAAAGCAAGGGTCGGGCCTTAACAGTGTCTTTCTGCCCCTTATGTTTTATCCAAATACTTATGTCAAATGATACTCATACCCTTAATCGTAGAGCTTTGGAGCCTAGCATTGCACCATTATTCAATCCCAGTCTCACACACTAGATCCATCCATTTCTGAAAAAATCTCCACCTATGAATACATGAGGCTTTGGGGGGACAGCTAGACACAAGCTATAACAAGAAACTAGACCTATATTTTTAAAGCAGCAGTCTACAAACACTCCTCTGTCAAGAGCCCAGTGAGAAAGATACAGATGTTTGGATATTTTTGCACAAAATTAGAAAGTACTTCCATTCTCCAAAGCCCAGCCAGCCAACCCTTAGAAAGCCACCAGCCTTAGATTACAATCTCCAGCTTTAGGCATTTAGCAAAAAACAAAAACAAAACAATCAAAAGGCTTAACTGAGTCACTCAGCCAGAAAATATTTTTGAGCTGCTTTCATGGGCATAACCTTGTGGAAGGTGAAGGGGAGACAGATATGAAGCCTGATGCTGCTTTCAAGGGGCTCACAATCTACATTCAGAGCAAGGTATGCGGGCACAGCAGGGCCAGTCATGTGAGCACCATCAGGACTGCTTGAGTCCCTTGGAGGACAGTGTTTAGAAACTGAAGCCATTGGAACCCAAGACGCTGAAAAGGAGTTCTTTCTTGATGACATGTCATCAAATCTATTCTCCATTATCACATATGAGTGTGATCTCATGTACTATATATCTGAGATTGTTTTATGAAGCTCTTTCTGAGAGGGTCTATGTTTTTCAAAAATGGTGGCATTTTCTTCTACAGATTATTTTCATTGCCAGGAAAATTAAAGTCACTGACCAAGAATGTGATGCTGACCCGTAGTTGTAGTGTCAAACCCTATTTGCAGCGGCATTTATGGCTCAGAGTTATGCGACTGCCTCGGTGGTTTGGGGAGAACCTTCCGAGTGCTGCAGCATGCAAAGCCAGGCGCCGTCACCAGTAACTCGCACCTCCACACTGCTACAGGGAGACGGAGTGTGTGAAAATCCACACCTTGGAGGAAAGGGCGGTGCTGGCTCTCCTGGAAGGCTAACCCAGAATGCTTCACATGGGGCTGGCTATGTGGTCACCATATTATTCGGGAAACCATCTGGCCGGTGTTCCAGGGAAGTTATTCGCAGTGAAGGGGCAGTTTAGAAAGAAGAGCAAAACTAGATGAGCAGAACATAGTCTTTCTTTCAACTTTCTAACATTTTATTTTCATTTTTCCTCAAAATGAAAATTGTTACTTATCTTCACACATCAAAAAAAGAGAGAGAGAGAGAATTTGAGCTTTCAACCAAACTAAATATAGATTAGTGCCCTCACTTCAAGACAAAGGCGTTCTTACCTAGGAAAACAATACAACAATGTTTGTTGAGTATTTCTTACATGTTAGTTTTTCCTACATACTTCTAGTATTTTTTTCGCATTTAGTGCTTCCATTAAGACTGACAGTGACGTACTATTGCACCCATTTTCATGAATGAGGAAACTGAGGCTGCAAAGTTAAGTAATACTCATTGTAACAGCTGCCATGGATTAAATGACTTTATGCTAGTTATTTCATTCCATTACATCCCATCAGCCTTCCTGGAAAGGTTAGCACTGTTCACGTAGGGTCTAAGTGGATACACTTTAAAGCTCTGTGAAGTGGGTGACACTTGTGTCACAGATGAAGAAAACAGCAGATGGGAAAATGAAATATTCCTTCAGGCCCCACAAGGGTAAGTGGGGAAGCCAGTGTGCATGCCCATTCTCTGTACCTCTGCCTCCTCCCCAGGTGGAGGGTGTGCAGGTGAAGGGAGCTCATGCTCCCTGTGTCTTCTCTTTCCCATGTCCCTGCCTGGTTCCCCCAGTCTGACATCCCCAGGAACCCAGTAACCCAGAGTGATCAACATTTAGCTCAAATCATCATCAGCATCTTCCAGGAATCAGGAGGACCCTGGGGTCAAGGAGTCTGGCAGGAACCACATTACCATGTAGGTGTCCCTATATTCTGCCTCTCAGATGGCTCAGCTCCCTAAGGACCATGGGTACGGTACCAAGGGTGTGAGGTTCAGAGGAAGACCTCAGGGTTTGAATCTCATCCCCTCCACCAGTAGTCATGTGGATTGGCACATCATGGTCCTTCCAAAAGAGGAGGTTCTCCATTAAGATCAGAGCCTTCTAATCCTGCCCAGGACTGAGATCGAGGCACATGGTCTGTTGAGAAAACATCTGGTAGCCGGGCATGGTGGCTCACGCCTATAATCCCAGCACTCGGGAGGCTGAGGCAGGAGGACTGTTGTGAGTTCGAGACCAGCCTGGGGTACAAAGTGAGCTCAAGGCCAGCCTGAACTGAATAGGGAGACCCTGTCTCAAAAAGAAAAAAACAAAACAACAACAACAAAAAAGAGAAAGCGCCTGGTTAGTGCCTGTCACACGGAGCGCATCTCTGAAATGAACAGTCTCGGTTGTGATCAATGTGCTCTGGCAGGCAGGGCCTGTGTCTGCTGTGTCCACCACGTTCCTGAATGCACACCCTGATGCTGAACTCATAATCAGACCGAAGCAAGAACTGGGAATGATTAACTTACAATGATGAGACCTGGAGGTGCAACTTCCAGGGTTTTATTCCAACGCCAATTCCACAGGTTATATAATTTATGTCTCAGTCTGTTCAAGTTACTATAACAAAATACCATTGGCTTGATGACTTATAAATGATGGAAATTTATTACTCACAATTCTGGGACCTGGAAATCTAGGATTGGGATACTAGGACAGTGGGGTTCTGGCAAGGCTGTCTGCCAAAGTATAGACTGCTGACTCCTCCTTGTGTCCCCACATGGAGCAAAGGACAAGTGAACTCACTGAGGACCCTTTTGTAGGGGCACTAATACTTAGATGAGGGAAGTTTTCATCTGCACGACTTCGTTACCCCAAAGCGCTTACCTCCAAATACTGTTCAACTGAGGGTCAGTCTTTCAACACGAGCACTGAGAGATATGCAAACACCTGGTGCATCATGACCTCTGATTTTTCTATAACTGTCCATTTGCCTTCCAGTCTGATTAGTGTGCCTGGGACATTTCACTCAAGGAGACTCAGAGGAGGACAGTTGTTTGTCCAGGCTTCCTGTACCCAGGAAAAAATGTTCCTGGTGGCTCGTGGAAGTTTGACTTTAGGTAGCTGCATAGAAATTTTTAATAGAATAAAACCAAACAAAATAAAACAGAATAAAGCCAATCAAAACAAAACAGTGAAAGCAATACAGGACTTTAAAACAGGATAATATGAAATCAATGATGGTTGCCATAAGATAGCTTGTTACCTTTGAAATAGCTGCCCATGCCATCAGATATAATAAAATCAAACCAAACAAAATAGAATAAAACCAATGAAAACAAAATAATGAAAATGATACAGAACTTTGAAACAAAATACTAGAGAATTAAGAATGGCTACCACCTTCCCTCTTTAGAAGTTTCCTCCTCTTTCACTTTCGCAATATCTATTGTACATATTTGGAATGTCAAAATTTTTATTCAGTAACAGGTACTTGAATTCTATGCACTAAGCATACAAGGATTAGGGACAAGAAATAAGAGGACAGACATGGGACCCGTGCTGATGGCACCTGAAGCCTGGTAGATGTGGGGAGACCAGGGCAGCAGGACTAGATAAATTTACTCGGAATGAGGCTGCATTGTGAAGATGTGTAATTAACACTTAGCACCCCAACAGCCCCTGCTTAGCCTCGGGTCCAGCCCATCTCTCCAGGGTGCACAGCAAGCACAGCTCCCTGGAGTCTTTTCTCTGACTGTGTCCCCTCCCACATGTGCTAATGGTAATTAGCATATTTTTAATAGTAGTTCTTATTAGTTTGGTTTAGAACTCTTCTCCTTTTTTGTACTGCTCTCAGCATGATGTCTGGTCCCTAAGACATCCTTGGTTACAGAAGAAACAAAGGAAGAAGTAAACATCTTATAATCTTGAGCAAATCTTGCAAATTGTCTAAATGTCCCTCTCCTCTTCTGGCAATAGGAATAACAGTCCATCACCATGTAGGCCAAAGTCTGTGGTTAATATAAAAGGTAAATTAAAGGTGAATCAGTGTTGTTCCAATCCAAAAGCTCTTAGAAAGGGTCTCCTTTGGGAAGCGTCTGCAGGGTCCCACGCTAATATCCTGCAGGTCTACTTGCTTGGGGTGTCTCACATCCCCCAGCCCCTCCTCCAGCCCATCTTCATCCACTAGGATGGTTAGGGGGAGAGAGACAGAGACAGAGATGCAAAGGGAGAGTGTGAGCTGTGAGTCGCATGATCTCTCCTGTGTTTCAAGGCCCAGACCTAAGTGTTTGCTCCCTCACCTTTGTGAAGACTCAGGCGGCCAAGCTGGACGCACCTGCTGCCTCTCTCATTGCCAGGGGACCTGGAGGTGAGGTCAAGCCCCCTGGGAGGGATGCTACCCCGCCCCATTTCCAAGACAAGCCCCTTCTAGGCCCAAGTTTGGCAAAGAAGGGACCGTAAACTTTACTACTCACTTCTTGCTGCCTCTGGTTTCCCCATAGTCATTACTTTCTTTAAAGCCCAGGCGAGCCACTCACCAATGCCCTGACCTCTACACTGCCCCCCAAGGGTGGCAGTTACGTGAGGAGTCAAGACTCCCCATCCCGATTCTCCTAGACAAGTCATCCAGCTCCCCTTCTGCCTGCCTGGTGGGCTTGCTGAGCTCCAGGCTGCTTGCAGGTGAAATGGACCACTGGCCATCCCCAAAAGAGGGTGAGTTCCAGAGGACATCATCCATCAGGTTAAATAAACACTAAACTCAATTTTTCCACCATAGGCAGCATGACACAGGAGCCAAAAAAAAGAGGAGCAAAGAATCATGTAACAAAGAGCTGACAGGCCTCGGGGTTCAGCTCTGGGGCCTGCTCATTCTACAGAGGAGGAGATGAGGGCTCCCTGGGAGTTAGAGAACAGGTACTCTGACCCAGACCGCCCACTAACTAGCTAAGTGGCACTAACCAGGTAACATGCCCTCTAAGCTTACAGTGTAACAAAAGGACCCAAGTCCAGACCCAAAACTCTTGGACTTTAGGTAAAATTGGAATGAAAAGCAGCCACTTGTTTTGTTCTGGTGACAGGGGAGACACAGAGCTGAGTGCTTGTGACCACAGGACATTGGTTTATGCTCTTGACCCCTCTTGCTCATCCTCATTGTCCCAGCCCCAGAATTACAGGCCTTGTTAGCACCAGGTGCCTTGAGTGCCGGTCTTCCCATCCACTTTTCCAAAGTACCACCTCTCCTGCTTTACCTGGGTGGAAGTTCCCACCATCCCATTCCCCCTGGAAGAAGAAGAGGAGGAGTATAGTTTCTAGGATTTAAGGAGCTCCCAAGAGGAGGTGATATGCATGGGGTGCCCACTCCCCAAAGCTCTACTCCCTGAACATCCCTACCCACCAGAAGCAGAATCTCTGGTGAATCCCTTTGAATACAAAACCTTCTCAGTATGTTTAAATGATTATACAAAAAATCCTGCAAACCAAAAGACACATTATTTACCCCATATCACAAATTTTCCATGCTCTCTTCTACAGCCAAGGCTGGACCCCTCCTCTGTAGGGAAGTCTTCCCAATGAATGGACAAAAAAGAGGTTACTTGAGTCATCGAAACCAAGACCCATAACCTAATATATGTTGATAATTTAACTGATCAAGACAAAGCCATAAAAAAGGAAGAAGGGCAAGAGGTTTAGCTCAGCAGCACAAGTGCCTGCCTGGCAAGCATGAGGTTGTGAGTTCGGTACCCCGTACCAAAAGGAAAAAGAGATGTTTGCCCCGTGTAATGTAGCTTCAGCACTGGCTCAGAACCTCAGCCTGGGTGGGCTCAGTGCAAACGTTCCCATCGTTCTGCTTCCCTCCCTCCTAGGTTTGAGGGCTTTCTGGAGGCTGTTCTGTGGTGCTGGCACTGGAGCAACTTCATTGCGTTGGGCAGTGTAACTGCATAACTTCCCAGTTACGGGTTTGCTTTCTGTTTTGTTTTGTTTCTTGACGCTAGACTGGCTGAGCAATAAAGCAATCCTACCAGGCCCAAAACTCCTAGCTTTATTTGTCTTCAGAGCACTTCTAACTCCCTGGAAGATTCACAGGAGACTGACAAGTTCCAACCACACACCAAGCAAGCATTTCACTTGCTGCTATGCATACATCTCTTTCATGAGCCCCATGCGCATCTCCATCCAGAGGAAAAGCCCAGGTGGACGCACCGCGGTAACAGCAGGAGATGCCCTTGTCTACCTGGCTGGCCAGCAAGACTTTGTGCACATCTATGTTATAGAGGAGTATGGTCTGGAGGGACCAGAGCTGCAGCCTCCTAACAGTAGGCCATGAATTGCTTAAACTCTCTGATAGACAGAGCTTTGGTTTCGGTGCAAGATTCCGGCTTGTAAAATTAAACTGGATCAGTGAGGAGGGATTATCTTTAAATCCTTTGAAGATAGATGTACAGGAAAACATTGTAATGAAAATATGCATCAGGAAAATGGGCACACAGATGCTCGTGAGTGGAGGGTGAGTTGCTGCATGCTGAAGGGCAGGCTGATTGTATGTAGCTAAAGCTTTAAAAGGCACTCTATGGATTTGGTGAAAAGCAGTACTAAACGCGCATGTGTGCAGAGTATTTATGAGACAGAGAGGGGGAAATAGAGGCAAACTACATGTTCAACACAAGGGGAACACAATGGCACAGTGTATTAGTCACTAAATAATGATATTATATGTGTATTCATAGGAAAATAATCATGATAAATGGTTAAATGAAAGAAGTCAGATCATGTAATAGTATCACAGTATGATTCCACCTTTGTTAGAATAAAGGACTACATGCAAGACTGAGGTCTAGAAAAGGATACAGTAAGGTTTTAATAATCTTTATCTCTCTGTAGATGAAGTTGTGGGTACTTATTTCCTTTGCTTTTAGAAAGCTATCTTTTTAAATTTTCCTGTATATATATATTGCTTCTGTAATAACAAAAATGTCTAAAATTTTAAGCCCTTTCCTATAAATGTAAAACTTCTTTAGACAAAAATCAAACAATGAATCAAATAATCAAATAATGAAGTTGCCTTTCTGACCTCCTCTACTCCTTTAAAGTCCATTTCTATTTCCTAGTAAAATTGTTAATGAATTTTAATTTCCTTCCAGAAGGATTATATATATATACATAGATGTATGTAGTGCACACACACTACACACACATAATACAAAACAACATATAATTTTCAGAACTTATTTTTTCTTTGAATCTCTTAGGTAACTTTCTAAATAAGCATATTTGCCTTTACCTCATTTTAAATAATCATATAGTATTGCACCAAATATATTTCCTGAAATCCAACTCAGAGGTAAATACTCACATCCTTCTCTCTATCTGCTACTTCCTACACTATCACAGAAGTTTAAATAGCAAATAAGAGAAATCAGAATTTTAAAATGGTGTGCTGAGTGTTTTTATTCTAGGTACTAAGCGCATGGGAACCTGCTTTCTGTTACTATAATAGCTGCAATGACCAACCTCTAAAGAGAAAATATCCACTGTGGCTCACAGCTTTGGAGTCCCACTGGGCCTGTTGCTTTGGGCCTGTGGCAGCATATCATGGCAGGGAACGTGTGGCACAGCACAGCCATCCATCTCATGGCAAAGGAGGGAGGAAAGAGACAGACAGACAGACACAGAGGCAGACAGACAGACTCCAGGGTCCCTTAATCTCCTTTGAAGCTGTACTCCCCAGAGGCCTGACACCCCCAGGAAGCTGCCCCTCTCAGATCTTCCACCCACTTCCCAGCAACACTCATTGGAGACCAAGCTTTTAACTAAGGTCTTCGGGCCAAATGAGGTCCAGATGTAACAGCAAGTGCAGCTTTACGGTTTCAAAAGTCATTTTTGGTTCCTTGTGTTCTCCTCATAAAAGATCCTAAGCGATGAAGAAAATCATAGCATTAAGTGTCCTGCACAGCTCCCATGTTATGTGTCTTTGTGCCTGGCATGGGGCCTCGTGGGCATTGAGTGATCATTTACGAAATTAATGCAGCAAGACCAGTGACTTGTCATGCTGCCTGCTGGACAGACATCCAGGACACACACATCCTGCAGTAATGTCACCTTGTGTGCTGACTTCCCACCTTAGTCGTCGTGTTTCCTTTCAATTTAGATGTGACCTCCTGGAGGGCCCAAGTCAGCATGGTGACATTGTAGTTACCTTTTATTATTATTATTATTCAAGCATTTGTAAGAGTGAAAAGAATTTTTCCCAAAATCAGTCCTCTGAAAAGTCCTCTGAAATGGTCTAAAGAGGAAAATTGCATTTCATTTTTGCTCTTGATAACAAGATCTGTATTGTCCACGCTGAACTAAGGGAAGAGATTTAAAATTTTCACTTTTTTTTCTTAAAAGTAGATTATTATTTTCCTTGAGTTGACCTGCTATTTTAGTACAAGTTTGTAAGCTTAGTAAGTTTCAGTTTTTTGCTGGGGTTAGAAAGAGTCCATGCCAAGGGAGAGGAGGCCTGAGCTCTCGCTAGATTGTTCTTCTCGGCCTCTTGATCTTTTCAACCACAAGGTGGTTTCTAGTCTCTCTCGCTTGTTTGAGGCTGGACTTGGGACATTTGGAGGGAGTATGCTGTGGCAGGAGGTGGGGAAAATGATTGCCAGAAGATTTCAGGAGATGAGCCTGACTTCTGTGTCCCACCCGAAGTTAAACTAGTACTGACATATGGATCCAGTGCCTCTTCCATGTGGTAGCTGTCTTGGGGATTCTGTTTTCTCCTTTTACTGATTAGTTTGGAGCTGATAGAGGAAGAAAATGTTCTGCTGTCATCTTCCCTCAATGGCACAGTGCACCTGTGGACCGAGGACAGAGCGTACCTAGGTAGGCAGCCTCCCCCTGGCCTCCTCCTCAGCCCCAGTTCAGGGGTCCCCGCTGAGTCGTGACTTCTCTGAAGCAGACTGTGTTGGGCTGCTCAGTATGTCATAGCAAAATGTACAGCTTACTGAACATTTTCTCTGTGTTCTGGAAGCCAGAAGTCTAAGGTGAAGGTCCCAGCAGGTTGGATTCTGGTGAGGGTTCTCTCCTGGGATGTAAAGAGCCACTTTCTTATATCCGTACATGGCAGAGAGCACACTCTCTGGTGTTATAATAACAGTAATCTTAATGGATCAGGGCCTTGTTCTTGTGACCTTATTTAATCTCAGTCACCTCCTTCATGGCCTTATTTCCAAACACAGTCACAGTGGAGGTTAAGATTTCATCTCACAAGGGGGGAGACATAATTCAGTTGGTAGCATAAAGTTGGCTTGTTTTCTCCCAAAATTAGCTAGGTCAATGACATTTGAATTTAAGAAAACTCAATGGAACTTAGGCAGTGAGTGTGGCAAGGAATTGTCTAATCACAAGGACCATATCTTGGTAAAGACAATTCAGAACCGGTCGGGGGAGCCATGTGGTGGGCAAAGGACTGGGCCATTGTTGCCAGAATAGCCTGACCTCCTGCTCAAATAGCCTGTAGACATATTTCAGGAAGTTATCTTGCAGGAGATTGTGTATCTTGTAGTAGGTCTGCAACTGTTTTGAGTTTATCCTGCAAGTTCTGAGTATATTACTGAGCAGCCTATGAACCCCTTGATATATTTCATGGTGAGCATCCTAGCCTTCAGGCTCCAAGGGCACTGGATCTGAAATCGTTACTTATGGAACTGTAGGGACACAACTTAGTTTGATTAAAGCATCCTCAAGTTCCTGTAGATGTAGTCATGTTACGGGTAAGCTCTGCTCTGATTAGAAGACAGGTCACCTCCCATGGTGTGCATATTATTACTTTGTCTCTGTTCTTCCAGGAACCCTTGGGCAGAGTAACACCTGGGACATTTTTGCTCCTGCATCCTGAAGTCACCCAAGAGTCCCCTGTGAGATTCTGACAGGTCCCCAGAGAGTGCCTCCTTAACCTGTTCTGCAAGGAGACACCCCTGCTGGGTGCACAGCAAGGTGGGAGGAGCAGGACCATGTGATGGAGGAGAAGCCATGGGCTGAGGTTGGTGCTGACATATCCGATTCACCTGTGCTTCTTTTGTAGCTGCCAGGCAAGCACAGAATGAAATCCCCAGCCATTGCCTGTTCCTGCACCTCACACTCACGTTACTGATCAGGACCATGAGAGAGCATCAGTCTCCCTTGTGAGAGCTGAGGGGCATTTTTCTCATCTGACCCACAAATAGGCAGTCGTGCCCAGCCTTGGAGTATGAGGAGCTCAGCAACCACATTCAAATCATGCCTGAGAAGGACAGGCCCTGCACAGGCAGCCACAGCACGCATTCACTGCTCCGTGATGCTCTTGAACTTGCGGTCTGAAAGGAAGGAATGGTAAGCTTAATGTCTAAGTCTGTGAAAGTCAAAGTCAGAACAAGAGCTTTGGAGAGGGCCCTTGTCAGTGCAGGGTTGATTTAAAACTCCGTGAAATATATAGATTCCCGAGAAATGCTTGCCCTTTAATAAATTGAAAAGAAGGTCATTTCATGAGCTATTGCTCACCAGCTATGTTACAGCTCAAAGCAGGACACCTGCTCTGCCAGCAAAATCATGTGTCTTAGGTTTTTCCTTGGCAGCCTTGTGGAATACTGATCACACAGTGTAACCTAGTCACTGCCTCTGGCTTAGAGCCCTGCGCATGTTCAAAATAGAAAATAAAGGAACCAGGCAAACGGATCAGGAAATGCTGCTCGCTCATTCAAACCTCCTACATCTGTGACCTTGTCCTCAAGGTTATCATGCAGCACCAACTGTGGGAACGCTCAGAGGATCCAGACTGTGTCATGAGCACAATTGGCTGAGTTAGAAATGCAGTCATTTCAGAAGGCACTTCATAGAGAGGAAACAAATGCTTTCATTAATTCTGATCATAGCTTAATTTGGAGAACAAAAGCTTATGGATGAGTGGAAAGAGAGGAAAGAAAGAATAACAGGGAAAATGTGCTGATGGATATAAAAAGCCCCATTGAATGTTACGCTGTGAGGCAGACCTAGGAAAAAATCAGACCAGAAGTTCAAATGCAGGGAGGAGGAAGCTCAGGAAAGTGAGGTGAGAGGAGGAGGAGGAGGAGGAGGAAGAGGAGGAGGAGGAGGAGGAGGAAAAGGAGGAGGAGGAGGAGCAGGAGGAGCAGGAAGAGGAGAGAGTACTATAATTCATAGGATGCTTCAGAAAGAGCGAGCAAAGTCTTCGTGGGTGACCTTGATCTGTGTAAGGAGAACATGGGGTGACTCTGTGCTTGCTGTTCTGCCCAATTTAACTGCAAGCACCTCAGCAAGCTGTTAAAATGTCTTCCAATTAAACTACACAGAAAACAGAAACCTGTCCCCTTGTTAGTATACTTGAGCCAGTCAGTGCGAATCCAGATGTAAAACTGCAGAATGAAATGTTTCGTCGCTGTTTGTAAGTCAGGGTTTCCAAGTTCTACACTCACATTTACCTAATTAGTCACGTGACCTCTAGCACTCACTCTGTGGAGCTATGAAATGATAGGTGAGGTCTGATCGTCTCTAAGTTTTCATTCCAGCTTTAAAACTTGTATGTTGCTCTGAGTATCTGTTCCACAGAAGCTGAATGCATTATTGAATTCTGGATGTCAGTGGTGATTCTTCAGGATGCCAGAAGATCAAACACAACCACAGAGAAAATAAGTTGCCTGGCTGCACAAAAGCATTCACCTGGAAAATATCACCTGTGAGTTGGTAGCTGGAAAAATCAAGTCTAAGCTCAGCAGAAGATGCTCTTGTTATCAAACCAATTCAATCAGCTTGAATTTTGTTCCCACACAGGAAAAAAAAAAACCCATGTAACCAACAGGCAGCCCTCATTCCCTCTGTCAGTATGATCGTGGGTTCCCCCTCTTAAAAGTTCTTTTCTCTTCCAACCTGAAAAGACCTCTATGCTTTCCTCTCCAGATTTTCATCCTTGAAAAATGACAAGAGCGATGACATGCACCGATGGTCTGAATTTCCTCATGGCAGGTCGGTCATAAAGCAGCAGCCAGGAAGCAATGTAGAAGATTGATTCTTTCTGGAATGACCCATCCTTTCTTGACCAGGGCATCTAGGTCACCTTGTCACCTGTGTGTGTCACCTGCATGTGTCACTTGTTTCTAAGTTCTCTTTCCTGAGTATACAATTAGGGTCACAACCCCAGTCTCACCAGTCAGGCGTCTTACCTAAGTGATCTAGGACACCTTGGGTATCCCAGTTTTCTCCAGGTAAGCGCACATAATCAAGAATCACACCCATCTCACGGTTGATGGTGCTACCCTCAGCCCTGCGTGAGCCAAGAAGGCTCCACTGTCTCTCCCTCAGGAGCCTTGCTGATCTGCAAGGACACAGGGCAGGGGCAAGCCCTGAAGCCCCCAAAGCTGTAAAAACTCGGATTAGTCAAATGCCCTGTGTGTCCCAGTCCTTATGCACTGGGACATGGAGGATGCTAGACAGAGGCAGCGCAGGTGGAGACCTCTCCCTGCAGTTCTACGAGATACTCTGTTCCGGGGCCCTACATTGATTTCCTTGAGTCCAAAGAAACAGCCCTTGAGTGACCCTTGCTCCTCCCATTGTCATAGCATTTCTGTCTAGGTCATGGGCACATGCAACATGATGCCACTCTCACCTCCCAGCTCATTGTTGCCGTGGCTCTGTCATAAATAACCCAAGCTTCTCCCTGTGTCACCCCACTATCTTAGCTCTAAGTATTATAGATACCTACAGGGACCTCCTGCCTTCCACCTGCACTCCAGGAAGTACAAACAAGGGCCTGTGGAGTGGGGTTCTTCCAGCTGGATCAGCAGCCCTTACGGAATTTTCTAAGAGTCTGTGCTCCCTCCTGCTCACATCTCATTGGCCGGCACTCGGGCACACAGCCACATCCAGCTGCAGAGAAGCTGGGAGTTTTGCGACCAAGAAAGGGAAGGCAAGAAAGGATTTTTGGTGCATAACTTACAACCTCTGTCCCATAGGTCAAAAATTAAAATGTTTCAGAGGTTATCAGAATCAGAGGGTATTTCACATAAAGTGCCATCTATCAAACCATGTGACTCATGCCAGAAAATGCCTGAGAGTCGTGAATCTAAAGTTTAGTTGGGAGAACCTTCTTAGAAAATGAAATGACTTGGCTTACAGTCACATAGGTGTCTTTGACCTTGGGAAACTCATTTAAACTTCCTGTTTATACACTGCATGTCTCCCAGGTGGATATCGAATCCAGACAGGGCTGGTGATGTGAGTTGGGACTTCAGTGAATGGAAAGGGAGGGAGCTTCTCTGTCTTCATCCGAGGTGAGCATCAGCATCTTCGCTGGTCAGTCAGTAACTGAAGAACTAGCAGCTTTCTCTAAATGCCTTCTTCACAAAGACCTGTTTTGGTTGTAATGGCTCCTTTGAGAGCTTACAGGACTTCAGGGTGTAAGCTGGGAAAGGCTGCTAAGCAGCACGAATAACAAACACAGCAGGGGGCAACCAAATAGAGACCGCAGAGGACAGAGTGGAGAGAGCAGGCTGGACCACAGGCCTGGTTTTCACTCCCCATGACTGTTTACTGAGAGGCTAGATGAGTGGATTATAAAGTGGGAGACAAGTAACAGAAGAAAGAGGCGGAAGGGGTCCATCTGCTTAGAATATATCAGCCAGGGACAGTGAAAACCGGCTCACCAACTAACTCACATTGGTGGTATGAGGTTAAATATATGTCTTTTTTAAGGGAAGGAACCACTAAAAAATGGTACACGCATCTATAAACATTTTGTTTCCATTTGCAGCATAAAATGTACATTCATTCACCAATCTTCTGATGCTCAGCAGTGTCTTCCATAATACATTACATGTGACTTTCAATTTCTGCTTTTTAAAGTAAAGAACATAGAGATATTAGCAAAGCAATAGGAGTTGCGCATCCTTCTAGATTTTTAAATAATGTTTCCCGGGCTTTCACATGTCATCAGCCACAACTCAGTATCACCTGTTAGCTACATTATTCACCTCCACCTTCACAGTTTTGTTTTCAGTATTTTCATATTAATTTGATCACTTTTCATTTTGTTTCAATACATTTATAACCACACTAAAACGCACAACTGGTATAATTAGGTTGAGAACAAACACAGCTGATTGTTGCTGAAATACAACTCAACCCCTCAAATATCAGGCAGAAGTTTCTGGGATACTGTGGCCACCTGCCTGTTCAGTGGGCTGTGGTCATTGTCATTTGCAGGACAATGACAAAAACATCAGTAAACCATCCACGCAGCTGGAAGAGTATCTACTGTGGAGACCCTGAGAGCAGTAGAGAGCCCTTGGAAATGAAATCAAAGCTTTCTCTGGGCAGCTGGGCTATAGGCTGAGGTCAATGACAGACGCCAAGAGAAGCAGGCGACAGCCCTGTCCTTAGCCCGCTGTGTCTGCATTACTGGATTCCTCCCCTGCGCTGTCTTAATGGAGCTCACCCTTCTCCAACAGCACTGCCCTATTCCTCATCAAAAGAACTGCTGAGAATCTTCTCCCCTGGGAAGGTCCCACACACTAAGTAGGGAATTATGCGGCTACTTTGCCCAGTTCTCACTACAACGTTGGCGATGTTTCCATTCATTATTTTACTTTACAGATAAGGAAACCGAGGCTTAGGGAGGGCATGTGATTTGCCCAATATCCAACTATTGGGAGATTTTTAAAAAAGGGGGCGAGGGGCTGTTCCCACTGCCATTTCTGCTACTCCACAGTGAAAAGACCACATCTCAGAGAAAGGTTTTTATATGAGCACAGAAAGAAAAGGGCATAGGTTGCACCTGCTCCAAACATATGGAAGCTGTGAACAACTACCAGATTATTGTGGAATGAAGCATCTGCCTACAAAGCACAGGCTCACGGTGGTGGTGCTAGTGTTAACTTGCTGATATCCTTGGTGTCTGGAGTCAGCTTAAATAGAAAGGGGTAGGGATCTGTGAATGGGTGCTCCCCACCCCAGACTGTGCAGGGAGAAGCAAGGCATAGAGAGGCAGACTGGAAATCATCTCCAGAGACCTGGTGCCAGGAAGGCCAGTGAGTGAGCTGAGTGGATCTGCACGGAGCAAAGAGGCCACAGGATACCTCTGTGCAGAGGTGGTAGGACAGACCAGAGAAACTCAGGAGCAGATGGCCAGCAGGGCCAGGGAGACAACCAGGCTGCTAGAAAGCATGTTAAACATACCTCATACCCCAGTAGATCTAAAGCAGCAGTCTCCAGACTTTGGGCACCAGGGACCAGTTTTGTGGAATACAGTTTTTCACAGATTCTGTAGAGGTGAGTTGGGATGGTCTGAAGATAATTCAAAGAAGCATGCATCCAAGATTCCTCACATGCATGCTTCACAGTAAGATTCATGCTCCCGTGAGAATTTAATACTGCCGCTTGTCAGACAGGAAGTGGAGCTCAGTCTTTAAATACACATGAAGACTTTTGCGTTTACCCCTGCTCATCTCTTGCTGTGTGACCCTCTTCCTAGAAGGCCACAGACTGGTACATGTCCATGACCTGGGGATTGGAGACCCCTGATCTAGAGCATTCAGATTGGGTCTCAGAGTTTTGTTAGAAATTGCCCATGCGGACCTCCTGGGATAGCTTGTCAACTTCTCATCTGGAACACTTGTGAAGCACTACTGTGTGCTGTAATATGGCACCGAGGATTCTGCCCCAAGTGGACAGGAGTCATCATCCTGAAGGAATTCATACTCCATTGGAGGGCTAAGGGACCACCAGGCTCCATCACTCAGTACTTGGGTCTTATCTGCAGGAGGAACAGAACGCATCATGGGAACATTTACTCGAGAGTTAAGAAAAGGAGGCTTTCTGGAAGAAGGGAATTGGTGCTGAGTCCTAAAAAATGAGTGGCACATGCCATTTTTCTATTTAACTTAATTTTTTATTTTTATATGTTTGTGATACATAATAATTACATGCAATGATTTTGGAGAACACGTATACATGTCATATCTTGAGCAATTGTGATCCCTCCCTCCTCAACCTTCCTTTCTTCCCCTTGACCCCGGATCTCCCTTCCCACCTCCATAAAGTCTACCTCCCTGCTTCCCACCATCTCTCCTTTATTTTGCTCTTTAGATTATTTATGTTTTGGGTTTCTTGCAAAGATACACCATCTCATACTTAATCCTGTGTCTATCGTTCATTTCACTTAACACGGTGGTAACAAGATTCACCCATTTTTCTACAAAGAACTCGAAGTTGCTTTCCTTTATGGCTGAATGATACTCCTTTTGTATGCACACCACATTTTCCTTACCTGTTTTCTTGGTCCATTCCATTGATGAGCATGTAGACTGTTCCCAGAGTTTAGCTATTGTGAGCTGTGCTACTGAAAACACGAATCCTTGGATATAAGTGCATTATGACTTGTACCTGTAGCTTGTGTTATAATATGTGTTGTGGCTTATGTTCCCCCAAATCTTCATGTGCTTATCATAGGTGGGGCTTTTCAAGGTTGTTGGATCTAAGTATGTGATGCTGGGATCCGCAGTGTGTGATTAGTAAATTCACCCACTGACTGGTTTGGCTTAATTCTGGGAGTGGATAACACAAAGGCCCTCCCTGAGTGTGAATGCTGCTTGCCTTAAGGTCGGAGAGTCTAGAAAGAGGCCTGCTGGGTCTCTTGCCGCTTGCTGCTGCTGCCTGCCTTCTGCTGCCTCCTGTTTGCTCGGCAAAGCCCCTCTGCCGTGCCACCCTTCCTTGGACCCAGCTGATTATGGACTGAAACCTCTACAAACTGTGAGCCAAAATAAACCTTTCCTCCTTTAACCTTGAGTGTCTGGTATTTTGTCTCAGCAGTGAGAAAGGTAACTAAGACAGCATGTATCATATAATACGCTCTTTAACTCTTTTGGGAAGATACCCCAGAGAACTAGAGCTGGACTTTAGTTTTTTGAAGCCTCTCCATAGTGGTTGCATTGGATTACATGCCCACAAGGAATGTGAAAGTATTCCTTTTTCTCCACATCTTCACCAGCTTTTGTTGTTTTTAGAGCTTTTGATAATAGCCATTCTCACTGGAATCAGATGGAATTTCAGCAATTGGGTGTTTTTTTTTTTGTTTTGTTTTGTTTTGTTTTGAGACAGGGTCTCGCTATGCAGTTCAGGCTGGCCTTGAGCTCACTTTTAGCCCAGGCTGGTCTCGAACTCGCAACGATCCTCCTGCCTCAGCCTCCCGAGTGCTGGAATTACAGACGTGAGCCACCACACCCAGCCTGTTATTTTGATTTTCCTAAATGCTAAGCATTTGTTCATGTACTTATTGGCTATTTGTATTGCTTCTTTTGAGAAGTGTCTATTCATTTCAATAGCCCATTTTTAAATTGGGTCTTTTATTTTTGGGATCCAAATTTCTGGAGTTCCTTGACTATTCTAGCTATTAGTCCTCTGTCAGAGGAGGTGCTCCCAAAGATACTGCCCAGGCTCTTCACCCTGCTGATTGCGTCCTTTGCTGCATGGAAGATTTTTAATTTGATATAATTCCAGTTTTTGATTCTTGAAAGTATTTCTTGTGCAGTTGGGGTTCTGTCAAGAAGTCCTTGCCTATGCCTGGGACTTAAGGAGCTTTGCCTGTTCTATCCTCCAGCAGATCCAGTGTTTGTGTTTTTAGATCTAGATCTTTGGCCCACTTTTATTTTAGTACAGGATGAGAGATATGGGTCTAGATATTTACATGTGGATAACCAGTTTTCCCAGTACCACTTATTAAAAAGGCTATATTTTCTCCAACATTTGCTTTTAGCCTATGTGCCAAAGATCAGATGGATAAAATTGCATGGCAGTGCTGTTGTCTTCTATTCTATTCCATTGCTCTACGTTTCAATTTTGTCTGATTTTGTGCTGGCATCATGCTGGCTGATACATGAAATCTGGGATTGTAATGCCTCCTGTTTGCTTTTTTATATAAATTTATCCATTTATATATATATATATACATATATATATATACATATATATATATGTATATATATAAATGTACTATACTCATTAGCAAATATTTCAATATACTTTATATTTAGGTAATATTAACTGTTAGTGATCATGACATAATTTATCCTCCAAATCTTCATGATGGTTGTGAACTTTATTTTTTCTTTAATTTTATTTAGCATTAAAATTTTTGTTAGTGCATATTTGCAGTACATCATGATTATACTCATCATGGAGCACATATACAGAAAATCCTTTCTGTTTACCCTTCCCATCTCCCTCTTATAGCTCTTCTACTTTGCTCAGGATTGCTTTGGTTTTTCTTGGTCTCTTCTAGTTCCATGTAAATTTTAGGGTTTTTTCCTGGCTCTGAGAAGGCTGTTGATATTTTAACTCGAGTTGCATCAAATCTATGTATCACTTTTGGTAATATGGCCATTTTGAATTCATCCAAGAACAAGGCATGTCTTTCCATTTTCTAATATGCTGGTCAATCTCTCATTTCAGCATAATATAGTTTTCATTATACTTGTCTTTCATCTTCTTGGTTAGGTTCATTCCTAGGAATTTAATTTTTTTTTGTTTTTTTTTTTGTCTTTTTCCTTTTTATCGGTACCTGGGATCGAACTCATGACTGCCTGCTTGCAAGGCAGACGCTTATGCCGCTGAGCTAAATCCCCAGCCCTGGAATTTAATTTTTTTGGAGCTACTGTGAATGGGATTGTTTTCCTGATTTCTTTGTTGGTAGGTTCATGATTGGTATACAAGAACACACTCTGTGACCAATGATATGGTTTAGTTTGGAGACATCCTGCAGGCTGTTAAGGAAAACGTATTCTGCTGTTGATGAATGAAACACTCTATAGATATTGTTTAAGTCCATGTGTTCAATGGTATAGTGCAACCCAATTGCTTCTTTATTTGGGATCCAAACTTTGAACATTTAACACTGAATTCTTACTTGGTTGACCTGTCTACTTGTGAGTTTTTGCTTTATGAAATTGGGTGCATCAACATTCAGTGCATATATATTTATAATTGTTTTTCTCATCCTATTGAATTATTTCCTCTACCAATATATAATGCTCTTTATCTCTTTGGTCAATTTTAGCTGGAAGTCCACTTTGTCTGAAACTAGGACAGCTATGCCTCTTCTTTAGAACTCCAGTTGCATGAAGTACTGTTTTCTATATTCTTTTAATCTATATGTTTATGCACGAATTTTATCTCTTGCAAGCAGCAAGTCAGTGTAGTGTGTGTGTGTGTGTGTGTGTGTGTGCGCGCATGTGTGCGTGCGTGCACATGCATGTGTGTGTTTATCCAATTGCCAATCTGTGTATTTGACTGAGGCATTAAGACCATCTGCGCTGCTTGTCATTATTGATCTGTAGTTACCGATTCCTGCTGTTCTGTTACCTGCTTGGTGCTGAGCCCTTTCTTCTTTCCTTTTGTTTACTCTCTGTTTGATACATTCTTTACTTTGGGCTCTTTGGTGATATTGCACTCAACATCTCTTTAGAATTCCCTCAAGTATTTTCTTCTAACTGGTTTTGGGGCAGTTATTAATTATTTTAGATTCTCTTTGTTGTGGGAAGGTTTTGTTTCTGCATCACTGTTGAAGGGTACTTTTACAGGCTATGGTAATTTGGGCTGACAGTTGTTTTAGGGCTGGAAAAACCTCACCCTAAGATTTCCTGCCCTTTAACATCTGTATTGAGAAATCTGGGTTTTTTAGATTTTATTGAAAAAAATGTGAAACAATGTCATAACCAAATAATAGGAGAAGAACAATAGTTAATACATTGCACACTGCCATCTTCAAAGTAATTACTCAGAGTGCACAATATGGGAATAAAAATTTCTCCAGTCAATATTAGCACAAACCTTCTTTTCAATGAACTAAGAGACAGTAATAGTATAGCTAAGTTACATTTTTCTCTCTTTTCCCTTTCTTCCTTTCCTCTTTCCCCCATCCTAGTTCCTTTTTCCTTTTAAACAATTACTTCCCACTCCACAATATTTATTGTATATTCTAGACTTTATTTACTCTTTCGGTTTCTCACACAAGGGAGACAATGCAATGTCTACACATGTGAGTGGGATTCATTTCATTTATGAGTGTGGTCTCAAGTTGCATCCATTTACCTATAAAAATCTCAAGCTATCCTTCTTTATGGATGAATAGTACTCACTCCATTGCATAAAAATACCATATCTTGTTTTATTCATTTCTCAGTTGATGGGCATTTAGGTTGTTTCCAAGATTTAGCTATTACAATTTGTACTGCTATAAATATGGCTGCAAATATATCTCTGTAGTACAGTGCTTATAAGAAGACTCCTAAAAGGGGAACAGCTGTGGTCAAATGGGACCTCTAATCTAGCATTTTTAGGAATCTCCACACTGATTCTGTAATGGTTGCACCAGGCTGCACTCCCGACAACAGTGGAGCAAAGTTCCTTTTCCCCTGCAATCCCTCCAGCATTTGTTATTGATTGATTTCTTGATGATGACCATTCTTTCTAGGATGAGATGGAATCTCCGTGTTGTTTCAGTTTGCATCTGTATAATGATCAATGAAGTTGAACATTTTTCATACATTTATTTGCCATTTGTATTTCTTCATCTGAGAAGTGTATTCAATACAGAGGTCCATTTTTGGATTGGGTCTTTGAATTTGGGAACGTCTGAGTTTTTTCAATTTTCTATGTGTTCTAGATAGAAGTCTTTTGCCTGAGGTACAATTGGATAAATTTGTTTCCCACTCTGTGAGTTTTCTTTTCACTCTGTTGGTAACTTCTTTTGATGTGCAAAAGTTTTTTTTAATAAGATGAGATCCTACCTGTTGATTAGGTTGGAAGTATTTCCCATGCAGTTTGGGTTTTGTTCATGAACTCTGCCTACATCTATGTCTTCAAGATTTCTACCTACTTTGTCTTTCAGTAGATGTATTTTTTGTTTTAATATTCAGATCTTTGATCCATTTTGACTTTAATTCACTGCTGGTGATAGACATAGGTCTAGTTTTAGCCTTCAGCATGTAGAGAACCAGTTTTTCCAGCACCATTTGTTAAAGAGACTATCTTTCTTTCTGTGAACATGTTTGGTTCCTTAGTTAAAGATAAGGTGGCTGAGTGTCTTTTTAGTTGTGCCTGCATCTTCTAATCTATTCTGTTGATCATCAGGGTTTTTTGTTTGTTTTGTTTGGTTTGGTTTGGTTTGGTTTGGTTTGGGTTTTTGCCAGTGCCATGCTGAATCACTGTAGCTTTGCCGTATAATTTCAAGTCAAGAACTGTGATACTGGGGCTGGGGATTTAGCTCAGCGGCATAAGCGCCTGCTTTGCAAGCAGGCAGTTGTGAGTTCGATCCCCGGTACCGGTAAAAAGGAAAAAGACAAAAAAAAAAAAAAAAAAAAAGAACTGTGATACCTCCTGCTTTGCCTTTATTGCCCAGTATTGTCTTTGCTATTCCAGGTCTCTTTTGTTTCTGCTTTTATTTTGATATATTTAACTTTATAATTTACGTGACATTTTTCTCTAACAGATTTTGGCATTCTTTGTGCCAGATTTCTGGGATTTTGGAATGTGCTATGAAGAGGCTCTCTTCTGGTTGTTTATTTGGGGTTCTAAATGAACCATGTAGCTAAGTGGCCATTCCTATATGTAAATTTGGAAAGATCTGGAAAATTTTTGGCAATGATTTTGGTAAGTTTTCATGCTTGCAGTTTGTTTTGTTAGTCCTATAATTCTTAATTTCTTGACTTTCATAGTTCTTAAATTAATTGTTTTGGAGTCATTTAGGGGCTCTTGAATAGATTTCTAGTAAATTCTTGTTGCTTTTGAAGTATCACTGAGTAAGAGATCTACTATCATTCTTGTCCTTGAGTCCTGATATTCTGTCTTCTCCTGGTTATGTCTACCTGGCATGACTTTGAATTTTTTTTATTTCCAGGAGTTCTTCTAGATTCTTTTTCATAATCTCCAGTTCTTTATTAAAGTGGTTATTCATATCATATCCTGCCTTGTTTTAATTCAGTCAGCTGTGTCTTTTTTAAATTTGTTGAACATCTTATTAAGTCATTTATATTCTTATATAACCCTCTTTGAGCTCACTGAACATCTTACATACATATGTTTGTTTGTTTGTTTATTTGAACATCTTATTAAGTCATTTATATTCTTATATAACCCTCTTTGAGCTCACTGAACATCTTACATATATATGTTTGTTTGTTTGTTTATTTGAACATCTTATTAAGTCATTTATATTCTTATATAACCCTCTTTGAGCTCACTGAACATCTTACATACATATGTTTGTTTGTTTGTTTATTTGAACATCTTATTAAGTCATTTATATTCTTATATAACCCTCTTTGAGCTCACTGAACATCTTACATACATATGTTTGTTTGTTTATTCTTTGATCCCTTCAAACATTTTAACCATTTAGTTTTTTTTTTTTTTTTTTTTGTCTTTTTCATTTTTATCGGTACCGGGGATCGAACTCACGACCGCCTGCTTGCAAGGCAGGTACTTATGCCGCTGAGCTAAATCCCCAGCCCCCTTAACCATTTAGTTTTTAATTCTTTGCCTGAAACTTCTTTCACTTCAGTGCCCATGAGATGAACTTTCAGGGAGTTGTGAATTATTTGAAGCATCTTATTGCCTTGTTCCTCATGATTTCTGTGTTTTGTTTTGTTTTGTCTTTTTCCTTTTTTTATCGGTACCAGGGATCAAACTCACGACTGCCTGGTTGCAAGGCAGGTGCTTATGCCGCTGAGCTAAATCCCCAGCCCCCGATTTCTGTGTTTTTGTGCTGAGTATTTTAGATCAGTTGGGCTAGAAAGTTGCACCATTATCATAGAGACTCCCATCCCTGAACTGCAAGAAGAGAATAAGTACTAGTAATAACTACAAGCAAAGAGCCAATCATATATTGATACATAATTTAGAGCTAGGTTAGCAAATTTTGCAATCTTCCAGTAATTCAGAAATACAAAGAATTAGTAATGGTGAAGAAAAATCTGGGGGACAGAAGTAAACGAAAGAAACAAAGAAAGAAAACAAAGTAAGCAAAAGAAACAGGAGGTAATTTTCAATGATACTATTTTTATACCTGTTAAGAAGGGGGAATAGGAAGAGGTTTGGAAGGATATGTGGGAGCTGAAGGGAAGAGAGTAAAGACAGATTTTCAAGTAGATAACAGAGCAGTCTTTATAGAGATTATATTTAATTTATCAATTTGCATATACCCTATCTTAGAAGACCCAAACAACAGCATTTGGTAATAGAGAATCTGATAGGTCAGTATAAAACACTCTAGAAACAAAAAAGATCCATTCATATACAGTTGGCCATAAACATATTCTTATATACACTCTAAAATAAGCAAAAAGAAAAAATTAACTTTATATATAAGAAAATTAGCTTTATATATAAGAAAAGAAGGGGAAGGGAGGATACTTGTGAGAGGAGAGGAAAAGAAAGAGAAACAGGATACAGAGAAATTCAGTCTGACTAAGAACCTAACTGACCCAGTAATTTTTGAAGTCTTACAAAACAATCCTTGGTGAAGAGGAACCTAATGTGAAATGTTAAGAGCCTATACTTAGTATGTTAAGTACACCATATTTAGATTAATCTTAATACCTTATGTAAAACAGAGGAATAGATAGACAAGAAGAGATGAAAATATAAATACAAATATACACCTATGTAGAGGCAGGAGGCAGGGTGAAGGGGGAAATCAGGAGGGTAAGGAAAGGATGGGATTGTAGATGCAGGATGAGACAAGAGACCTGGAGATTGTACCGAGCTGTTGAAGTACCAGCCCAGTGAGGTTAGCTAACACTTAGAAACAACCTTTGGAGCGAGCTCGTGGGAGTTCACTGCATGGAATGTTTTAAGAGCAACCCAGAAACATTTATACACACAGCTATAGCCACGAGCACATATATACAAAGCCTGTCAATCAAAAAATCAAACAAGAAAAGGAAGAAACAAAAACACAAAATACATGCCAATGGCACCATGCTCAGGAGTCTTGGTGACCTTCAGATGTTGACGGGTCACCAACAGGTGACAACACGGATCCCCAGTGGAGATTTGGTTGCAGGCTCTATTTGCTTCACCTGGCACAATGCCCTCAGCTTCCCATTTGCAGTTGTGTCCTCATGCTCAGCAACTTCAATGGCTGCCTGTGGTGTGGTGGAGTAACCTGTCCCTGCACACCTTGCTGGTGGCTTTTCTCTGTCCTCTTCAGTCCTGGGCAAAATTGTATTTCTGCTTGCCACTGTTCAATCTGGGATGGGATTTTAGTGGTTTCTGGGGGCCAGCAGGAAGGAGCTCACATAGACCCAGAGCCTGGCCACATTTTAGGAGCTATGGCGGTTGAGATGAGCAGAGAGCTAAGAGGTGTTTGGGGTCCGCTGGAGGAAATCCACAGCACTGAGCTCAGGAATATTTAGAGGCCAGTGGGAGAGCGCCTGTTCTGCCATCGCTCCGGAGCCTTTTCCCCAACCTGAGATCTTGCTGGTCACAGCCTCTGCAAGGCCCTGGGATTCTGTCTCACAAACCCCTCAGTGGCTGGTTCTGGGTCCCTGACCAGGACTGTACTCTTCGCCCCTGCCTGTTCTTAGATATCACCCATCCTAACTCCCCACTGCCTGCTGAGTGACTCTCGGGCTTGTGCTTTCCTGAGTCTGCTGGTCTGAGGAAGCATTCTCTTGTGACTGTCCCAGCCACTGACTCCACCTCCCAGCAGGAGGAGAGTTAGGACAGGTGGGCACTGAGCAGTGGTAGTAGGCTGGATGCCAGTCAGCAGCCAGGCAGTGGCTGCTGCATTCCCCCCTTGTGGGGATTTGAACCCTGGATCAAACAGTGATCCTGCTTCTTACTCTAATCAGCTCCATTACGGATTTCTTCCAGTTGATTCCCACAGTTGGATATTTGTTCACCCCCATATCCAAGTACCTATAGACCTTGATGGGTGTCTTCTGGGCACTGCTGCCTCTAGTCCACCATAATGCTTCTCAGATGTAGCCATTTAAGAGGGAGCTGAAGAGAAGGAAAAGTCACTACCACATGGGTGAACCCCCAAAATGTAGAGTAAATGAAACAAACCAGTCACAAAAAGACAAATACTATGTGATTCCATTTAGCACAGTCAAATTCATAGAGACAAAGTAGGGCCTGAGAGCAGGGAACAAGGGGTTGTTGTTAATAGGTTACAGATTACAGGTTAATAGGTTAATAGGTTACATCTCACAGTTTTGTGAGATGACCAAGTTCTGGCGGTAGAGGTGATGATGTTTGCACAGCAGTGTGAATGCAATCAGTGCCACAGAACTGTGGTGCTTAGGGTGGTTGAGACTCTCAGTTTAACGTGCATTTAAGTAAAGAGTGGACAGAAGAGCATGGAGGAGCACAGTCTCTAGGATAGGGGATCAGGTTCTGCTTCAGAGGGGCTAGAACCGTTGGGAGACCAGAGAATTGATAGCAAGAACAGAACTGTGACTGGGAAGAATTTCCAGGGAGGAAGTAGATTCCACCTTTCCAGGGTGTTTAAAATGAGTTGGAGGAAAGAAAGGGCTGATGACAGAGAACCCAGGGGGATCAGCAAGGACAGTGTGTTTTGGGGATGAAAAACACACTATGATCTCAATGCAGGGGCTGAAGTTGAAGCAGGGGTGGCATCATGCCCCAAGGTGCCCAAAGAGTCCGCACACCTAATTCTTTTCCACCAGAAGGCTGCCAGCGCAGATCAAGCCTTGCTTGAAAACACCTGAGCCTGGATGGCCCAGCATCTACCAGGCCCTCCTCTGCCATGGCGTCACCTACATGTCAGCCCTTGGGGAGCAGCCGGATCTGTCCATTAGTAACTCTGACTTGCAGAATGTAAATTTCCTTCTGCAGGACGCAGGAGGAAGTGGAGCCACTCTAGATTCCTGATCCAATGGCAATGCCCTTGCCTGAGTGCTAAGGGTCCCAGTCGCTCAGTCCCCTGCTTAGCAAATCCTTTTTATCTGAGTAATTGAAAGGTCTGACTGAGAAGATTAAGCTTTGACCCAGAAGAACAAAACCAGAAATGATTTCAACTGACATGGGCTTCTTCCCAAAGCAATTAGAGCTTGAATCTAAGAGAACAAATTGGATTTGAGGTTCTCCTTTCTTGGGGACCATTGTTGCACTGAATGCTGGAAGTGCAGAGTGGATGGAGGCAGACTCTGGTTCCCCAGGCACCTCCACCCAGCCCAAAAATGGGGTGCGAGCATCTGCCTGAGGTGGGCTGAGGGCAGTGGGAGAGAATATTGAGGCTGCTGGTAAAAATAGCTGATTTTGCAAGTGGAATTTGTGCCAGGTAGGTCTTACATGGGTGCTTAGATGTATTCTCTCATTTATTTTCAGTAACAATCCTATGTATACATAGTGTTACTATACCATCTTTCCAACAGGGAAACTGAGGCTCCAAGAAGTTAAATGACTTGCTGGTAGTTAACAATTAAATGACAGGAGAACCCAGAGCCTGTGTCCTTAATTACCCCACATTCCTGAGTCTTTGCTCTAGGAGTAAAATAAGAGCCCAATAGCCTTCTCCTTTCCAAACGTCATGCCACAGCAGCAGTTTTAGGACTGGAAGTCAAGGAGTGACCTCAGAGGCAAACACAGTAAGCACAGCTGTCAGCGACTGAGCACTTTCTAGACTTCTGTCTCCACTGAGGAATCACTGAACTCCCTCAGTATCCTGAAGGAAGCACACCCTATTTTACAGACAAGAACACTGATCCTCAGAGAGATTATTTTGCCCAAAGTTACACACACATTAAAAAGTCAAAATTCACAACTTACATTGACCCCAATACTGGGCTGTAAATCACTACCTCTGTGTCAAAGCCATCTTTGCAGGTGGAAACCTTGAGGTGCAGAGTTCAAGGCTGTAAAGCTAAGTCTCCTGGCCCTTTCCCCAGTCTAGGACTTCCCAGTACTGCTCCTCACTCTCAGGCCAGCCCATGAACAGTAACCCTCCTAGCCCTGGGTCAGAGGGGTCTGCCCCTTTCCTGCTCTCCTTGAAGAACCCAGAAGTATCTATACATTGTAAGAACTTCTGGAGCGCAGTCGAGGACCTGGAGCTTGGCAATCCTATGTTCAGATGGCTCAAAGTCCACAGAGCCCAGGCTCTGCTCAGGACCCTCCCGGACCCCGGCCCAGAGGTATAGCTGGGGGCAGGTGTTTTCTGGGGGTGCACTGGGACACTGGCTGGGGTGAGGTTGTTCATGCATGTGCACATTTAGGTCTCCACGGTAGAGCGAAGCTGGGGGCGTGAATAAAGAACAATCTGGGCCGTGTGCCAGGGCCGATTCTCCTTGCATTGCTACATTTTCCAAGGAGCTATGAGGACTCCAAGAATTCGGCATCCACATTGGCCTTGGCCGCATGGTGTGCCTGGAGTAGGAGGGCAGAACAGTCTGCGTCTGTGAATGAACAGTTTACTAAGTGATATTTAACGTTTGTACAGAACTCATGAGTCTTAAGGGCTTCGGTTCCTTTCACTGCTCAGATCCCTCTGTTCCCTCTCAGAAGCCTGTGACCTCACCCCTAACAAAAGACCACCCTTGCCAAGAATCCTGGACTCCCCTGGTTGTGGGTTCAGATTCTCTGCCCCAGCCCCACTGTGACTGCCTCTCAGCATGTGTCTATATAGCTAGCAGACAGCTTCCTATTTAAACTGCCTGATTATCCAGGACCCACCTGTCCCAGCCAGCCAGGAACCCAACCCTGGAGATCCTCCCACGGTGCCTGTGAGGAAAGCCACACCTGATCAAATGAGAAATTTCTGGGCTCTTGAAGTCACAGGAAAACTATCATCAGAGCCTTGAAATCCCTACTGGGCAGTTTTCCCATCTCTTGTTCTATGTCTGTCTCTTTGTCTCTGTCTCTTTCCTTTTTTCTCTCACCACCTGGCCCAACTCTTATTAACCATAAAGTCAAGAGCAACTAAACAGAGCACACTGGTAGTGCTAGGGGTTGGGTGTGATTTGCCTAGGAGTTCATGTGTTGGAGAATTGTCTCCAGGGTGGTGATGTCAGGAGGTGAACCGAGTGGAGCCTAGTGGAAGGTCAGAAGGCAGGGACCTGGTCTGCTCTGAGTCCCTGTCCCAGCACGCCTCTTTCCCACACGCCTGCCATGATGACATCAGCCACGACATGATGCAGTGGGAGGCCCTTGCAAGAGCTGGCATCCTGCTGCTTGGACTTTCAACCTCTAAAAGTGTAAGTGAAATAAACCACTTTTCTTTACAGGATACCTCAGACATTTTGTTATGGAAGAGAAAATTAATGAAGTAGGAAATCTCTGGAAGAGTACGTGTCTGTAGAAGATGGATTAGCTTCACATTATTTTAACAAAATTCCTAAGAAACATTTATTTTGGCTAACAGTTTTGGAGATTACAATCCAAGATCAGGTAAACAAATTGCTTTGGGTCTTTTAGTACAGGGAGCAGGTAGCCGAGGCAGGAAATGTTTGGCAGAGCAAACTGCTACTTCATGAGCCAGGAAGCAAACAGAAAAAAAGAAGGCCCCTCTGAGCACACTCTCAGTGTCCTAGTGACTAGCCTTGTGAGAGCTCTGCCACCTCCAACAGCCCTGCCCCGAGGAAAAAGCACTCAGAACCTTCGGGGAGCACTCATCCGGCCCACACTAGTGGAGGGGCCAGTGTGGGTGCAGAGATCCTCCTCCAAAGCTCCAGTGGGGCAAGCACCATAGCTAGCTCCTCTAATAGCTCCATTCCCTTGGCGGCCGTAGTGGGCTCTGTCACACCAGGATTCAGCTTCAATAAAGCAAAGTCCTCAGACTGCTGGAAAGGTGCAACAGCAATTTTACAGTCCTCAAATTCCTCTAGTGAGAAGCAATAGGAGAGGTGTAAAGAGGAAGCTGGGTAACTGTGAGTGGGCCCTGGGTTCAACTCCAGCACTGTCAAATAATAATAAAATGAAATAAAACATTGGTATTTCCTGAACACCTTCCAGCGCTCCAGCCCTGTGCTCACTGTGTGAGTGGCACACAGTCTGAACTAAAAGAAGGGTTGATGGGAACTTGTATCTGGCCTCTGTGGTAGGTAGAAGAATAGTAAAAGTTGGCATGTCCAGCTTTGAAAGTTGGCTCACATTATCAAAATGCACCACTGACAACTCCTCATGGGAGTCTCAAAATCTGTTCTCTGAAATCACCCACAAAATGCAATCGTCTTATAATTGGCTGTTTTTTCACTAAGCTGCATTTGGTTTTCAAAAATTCATGTTTATATGAAACACCAAACTATTTGCTATTTCTTTACCAAATAGATTCTGATTATGAAATCTGTTACCAAGAAAGGAATTTTCCTTTAAGAAAAAGAAACACTAAAACAATGTATCAGTGCATGTAAGGAGACAAGCTGAGCATTGTTCTTTAACAAAAGCTGTTAGACATAAAGGTATGTCTGGGCCAATGATTATGTCCAAAAATGTTTCCGATACTAGCTTAGGCTGTTGCTACTGTTCATTTAAAGAGCAAAAATCTAAGCCAGGCCTGTGATTTTAGCCTATAATACAACACTCTGGAGGCTAAGCAGTAAGAGCTCCAATTAAAGTCCACCTTGTGTTAGTTACCAACTGAGTGAGGCATTGTGTCAAAATTAAAAAATGAAAATGAGCTAGGACATTGCCCAGAACAAAAGCTCTGGGTTTAATCCCCAGTACTGGGGTTAAAAAAAAAAACAAAAAACAAACAAAAAAAAAAACTTGACTTTTCACCGAGTATTGAATTAGAAACTGACTCGAAATACCAGCTGCAATACTAGACTACATCTCAGAAGTCAATTTAAAAAACAACACAACAGCCATGCTATCCTGATCAGCCATGGGATCCTGGCTGAGTTCCACTTGGGAAGGGACCTGGGTATCTGAATTTTAAAAACTCACCAATGACGCTAATACGCAAGCTCAAGAACCAGAGCTACTGACACTGTATGAATGTCCCGGGAGGCATCTCAGCTCCAAATCTCTAAGGCTTCCTTTTCTGAGCATTGATCCCTTCTGTGCACACAATTCATTGGCATCTCTCCGTGCTCTGCCTAATCACACTGTCTATAAATGCTCCAGACCTTTGCTCTCTCCCACCGGGAGACCATGGATTTGGAGCCAGTACCTCTCCTAATGTAACTTGGTCAGATCGTGTCCCAGTTGTACTGTGTTCCCCTTCCTTTTAGCAGGGTGGGGCTGGCAGTGGAACCTTGGGCCTCAGGCATGCTAGGAAGCCCTCTACCACTAGGCTGCACCCCCCAGGCTTCTACTTTGTTCTTTTGTATTATTTTGAAGTTCAAAGTCATCCTTCTTAGAGCAGTGGTTCTCAAGGGACATTTGTTTGTCACAGGGTGTGCTAATGCCATCTGGTTGGCAGAGCTGGATTATGTTAAATACCCTAGAACGCGTAAGACAAGCCCTGCAACAATAAATTATCCAGCCCCAGATGTCAACAGTCCTGCAGCTGAGAAACCTGCCCTGGAAGAAATCACATGAGACTGATCCATAAGGTTAAGTTTGGACAAAGAAGTGGGAATTCAGAGAAGCTGGCTCTCTGCCTAAAAGCCATAGTGCCTGAGGCAGAAGTTTGAACTCCTGTACACGGAAAGGAATCTTCCCCTACTCCAAATGGTGCTCTGTCTACTGTACCATGCTGCCACCTGCCCAGAAGCAGAGTAAGAATTCTTAAGGGGACCACCACACACAATCCTGAGAAAAACGGAACATTAAGGGACTGAAAGTGCTATTTATAGAGCATTCAAAAATGTCAAATTTATGTACAAACTACATAATAGACTAAAAAGTAACCAGTTTGGACTGGCTGTCTTTTAGGAAGCTCCCAGTGCTAACAAAGGGAAAACCATAGCACGTATCACAGCAAATTTTCATCATTTTGCATCCCAGGAGAATTTAACTGCACCCAACTTTCTCAAATACATGGTATTTTGAGAGAAAGTGAGCCTCTCTCCCCACATATTAAGACTCAGTCTCTCCCAAAAAGAATGATATAATCCTTTTGTAGTTTCATAACATATGATAGCAATCAAATAGCACAGTACCATAGGCAAGACGACTCTGGATATAAACTGAAAAAAATTTTGAATGCTGTTTATAAAAAGTCATTGGTCAGAGAAGCCAGTTTATTTTTACTCTGCAGTCTATCAAAAGCGAATTTCTGAAAATCTGTAGAAACATTAGTCAAATTGATTATACATGATTTCTTTTTTGATGAATAATCAGGGCAATAAAAATCAAGTTACCCAAAGAAAGTTAATCATTGTTTAGATATAACCAACTTTCATAATGGCTAGAATCAAAAAGTTCAATTTATTCCCTTTTGGTTTGAAGTATTGTCACGAAGTGAAAATTTAAGTGAAAGTTAAATATAAAAACTCCCTTGGCTGAACAGAGCATTTGTACATTTGAGAGGCCCTAGGGGATTACCAAGAAGGTATTGCAGTTTAGGCCAATGATACCAGTCTATCTCATAGTTAACATAAAGAATGTATTTTCCCCACATCATAAATGTAGTTCTGAGGTATCCAGATAACCATAAAAAGTTGAGTCATTTTTTTATAGTTATGATACAGAAATTTTATAACACAAGCCAAGCTTGATGTGCCTACTATAATCCCAGGACTGTGGGAAGGTGAGGCAGGAGGACTGCAAGTTTAAATCCCACCTGGGCAAGTCAGTGTGACTTCATCTCAAAGAAACAGAAACAAACAGGAAAGCAGCTTAGTGGCAGAGGTAGAACTCAATTTCTAATACTTTCAAAACAAAAACTTTAGTGAAGACTAATTTAGGCCAGACATGTGATGATTCCTCTATTACTGGCAGGTTTTATTTTCCGATTAAAGGGGCAAGTCTTCCTTTCTTTTTAAAAACCATGTTTGTTGGGGGCTGGGGATTTAGCTCAGTGGTATAAGTTCCTGCTTTGTAAGCAGGCAGTCGTGAGTTCAATCCCCGGTACCAATAAAAAGGAAAAAGACCAAAAAAAAAAAAAAAAAAACAACAAACCATGTGTGCTTGTGCTATGGTTTGGATTTTAGATATTCCCCCAACGGTCACGTGCTGAGGGCTCTGTCACCACCCTGGAGCTGAATTTCAGGAAGTGGGCTAAGTGAGGGAAACTAGGTCTTCTAGGCAAAACCTTGCAGAGGACATCAAGACCCTGGATGCTGCAGTGACTGCTTTCTGGCCCCTCTCGCTTTGCCACACAGCTCCACACTGGGAGGCACTGCCAGCACCACAGGCCAGAGCCTAGGACTAAAACCTGAATCAAGAAAACTTCCTTCTCCTCTTCTGCTGATGTTCTCAGGTGTGTGTCACCATGACAGAATTTCTAGCTGCACTTGGAACACTGACCGACTTTCATCTTGATGGGTAAACTGTTCCTGACTGCACGCTGATCTTGAAAATGAACAAGAGCATAAAATCTATCAGAAGGGTGACAAAAATCTAAAGAATCTAAATGGTTGAAATTACAAAGTAGGGAAATGTTAAATAACTGACATGTGGTTAAAAATCCTTTTTTTTTTTTGGTCTTTTTCCTTTTTATCAGTACCCGGGATCGAACTCACGACTGCCTGCTTGCAAGGCAGGTTCTTATGCCATTGAGCTAAATCCCCAGCCCCCAATTCCTTCATATTTGACGTAACCATATAAATATCACAAATGAGAATGTATAAAACACGCAATTCATGAGATACAGGCAAATTTTTACATGTTGACATGTATCAAACATACAAATAACCAGTCATTTGGTTTAGGAACATGGGCTTTAACATGACAGTAACCAGATTTGGGGGTTTCTTTGCTCCACTGATGCTTCAGTGTCACCTTGTACATTCCTGCACCTCACTTAGTGCCTCGTGGGTTGCCTGGAAGATTACTCCACCCAAAGTACTTGGTAGCTATTCTGTAGTGAGATGGCCAGTTAAAAGATCCACACCCTTATGGGACATGTGGGCCTAACAGAGGCAGCACACAGTCACCGTGGGCAGCAAGGTCACCTCAGGTCGTGTGCAGGTCTTTTCTCCACACCTCTGCCCATGGTGCTTCAACTATGCCCTCATAAAATAACAAGCAGACAGACAAGATTCACTGCAGCATTATTTAGAATGGCAAAAACACTTAACCCACCAAATAGTGGGACCGGCTAAAGTATTTCTAACTCTGCCCTTATAATGGACTCACCAAAGCTGTGAGGTTGTAGCACTGGACCGTATTTACCAATCATTTTCCTGGTATATAGCTTTTAAGAGCAGCCTGTAACACTAACACATACAATCACACCCACAGATAAATCCATTGCCATGCAGGCAAAGGCTGAAAGGATCTAACATTATTAGATGTCAGTAATTTTCCTCCCTGGTGGTAAAATTTTAAATTATATTCACCTTATTTTGTTTTTAATAAATATAATAAGCATATGCTACTTTTCTTTTAGAAATGATTTTCATTTAAAAATCACACTAAATTCATTTGTTACAATAATTCTTACTCTTTCCACCCAATCCCATTTTTAAATCAGTGACAAGATCAACAGTTTAGAAATGACACCATAGGATGAACTTTATTTTAAAGCTCATAAAATTTTCACAATCGGTTACAACAGATAAACATCTTCCATTTCACACCTTCACATGACAATGTACTGTGCAGTGAGAGATAATTTTAAAGTTTTGTTCTGCATGCTGCTAACACATTTGACTAGCTTTTGTTTTACTCAATGAATTAATATGAAAGCAAAATTATTCTATTGGACAGAATTAATTTTTGAAAGCCCTTATGAAATCAGACTTAAGTCTTGTTTACAAACATCCACACCCACACACATGCTGAAATGGAGCGCAAAATGCAAGAAAACTACCTTGGCAATAACAAATGCTTAAAGATTTTAATCACAGCCCTCTTGAACAAGCAGTAGTTTGTTTCTTCAAAAGACAAAAATCAATTTCATCCTCAGTGATGCAAAGGGTAATACTGCACAGAAGCTTAGTATGAATTCACAATTCCACAGGAATCTGAAAGTTACCAAGGCAATTTTCCCTTTTAGGACCATAAAGACTACAGACTTAAGCTTTACCCTTTTTCCATATAATACACAAAATGTCTAGACATCCTTAAAAAAGAAAATATAAATAGTCTCAGTATGTTATGTAGAATCACATACTATGGCAAAAATATTTCATTAATTGAAGGAATAAGCCAATTTAACACCACCTAGTCCAAGTCCATATTAACAGAACTCTTTTCATTGGGGTAACATTCACCATTCTGATGTGGCAGTTCGGCACCAAAATTATTTTTGCCTTCTAAATCTTCTTCCTTTTTATCAATATTTGGGCCATTTGGAGTTCTTTCCAGTTTGGGTGATTCGATTTTTGGTTTTGGTTGTGTTACCACAGGTTCACAAACATTGTTCAATTCCTAAGAATACAGAACTGGTCGTTAAATTAACTCAGGCCCGCCCCATTCATTTTCAACTACTTTCCCACATACCTGACCTGCTGCTGTTTTTCTACCAACTCCAATTATACATCAAAAAACTCTATTTTCTCATTACACTTGATCACAATCACAGCTTGAGGCCTCATCAAGAGTTAATGTTCTGTGATTTATCAAGGGCTTGCCTAGTACTTTAAGTCCTCTACTTAAGAGTTCTGTTCCAGGAGAATGTTTCTAACTGACTCATTCCTAACTCTGACAAAGTGAATCTCACACCAACTTGGGGACTTACGTATTATTTTATTTAGCTATCATAATAAATATTAAAACACAGAGCTATGATTTCTACCTTATGGAGAAGAAAATGGTTCAGAGAGGTTAACTAACTTAAATATAAGGATAACCTGTGAGGCAAAAGGCTAGAATCCAAATTTACAGCCTGAGCTTTAAAAGCCAACTTTTCCTTAGCTTTCATTACATTTGAATGTTACTCCAGACAAGGGGCCTTTTTGTTTGTCTTCCCAACTTCCTTCCGGTATCACACCCAGGAGGCCTCCCCTAAGGGAACACCAGCCTGGGTCTGCTCCAGTTTAGCCTTTTCTGCCTTCTTTCCCCTGCTTTCTTTCCCTCACAGCACTTAAAACCACCTCATGACAAGTGCTGTGTAGTGCTGCGGGGCTCTCTCCCTTGAGAATGAACTAAGTTCCACAACTCATTGAATATTTGTAGATTCAATGTACAAACTGAATGGACACTGAATGTGTGATTCCCTCAACTGCTGGCAAATGACAAACTAAACAGAAATGCACAGCTCAACTGAATGAATGAACATAAAATTTAATGAACTTAAGCGTTCTTTTATATTTAATGCAATACAAGTCAGTCTTAGTAATAGGAGCAATTGCTATGGTGAAGGCTCAAACGGCTTCAAATTGAGTCCCTAAGAGAAGCTAGTAGTTCACACTTTTTTTTTGGACCAAGGATTGAACTCACGACCTCGTGCTTGCCAGGCAGCCATTTATGCCACTAAGCTAAATTCCCGACCCATGAGAATCCAGTAGTAAATGAGACATTAACACTCACCTTGATTTTTGTTTTTATTTCATGTGCACGTACAACTGGATCCTGATCAAGATTCCTTTTAGCCTGAGCATTCATGACATTATTCATCCACTCCATCACTTCATTAACAGATTTCTCAACTTTTTTCATTTCAGATTCATCAATATGGTTGTATTTCTCATCCTAAAAGAAAAAACAGGTTTTTATAAAATTAAATACGTGACATGTCTTCAAAAAGTTCTTCTAGAGGCTGGGGATTTAACTCAGCGGCATAAGCGCCTGACTGGCAAGCGCAAGTTCATGCGAGGTCATGACTTCAATACCCAGTACTGCAGAGAGCCAGGTGTGGTGGCTCAGGCCTATAATCCCAGTACTCGGGAGGCTGAGGTGGGAGGATCCTTGCGAGTTCTAGACCAGCCTGGGCTACAAAGTGAGCTCAAGGCCAGCCTGAACTGCACAGCGAGACCCCGTCTCAAAAAAGAAAAAAAAAAAAGAAGCGTATTTACTTTCAGGCATGGTGGCACACACCTGTAATTTCAGTACTTGGGAGGCTGGGGGATCATCATGAATGAGTCCAGTCTGGACTACACATTACATTCAAGGCCAGCCTGGACTAGCATAAGACTATATCTCTAACCAATATTTACTCATTATGAAAACTTCAGTCTAAATGTCAGCTCTCTGCATTGTAAGCCACCCCCTCCCCCCGCCACACACACACAAATGCTAGGCCCAGAAACTCACTACCTTGTTTCTAAAGTCAGCTGCTATCTTGGCGTAGTGCTGCAGCCTCTGTCCCAGTTCCTCTAACATTCTCGGTCGTTCCTCAGCTTCCTGAAATCGGACTTTAACTGGAGTGCCAATTTTCTAAAACAAAATGTAGGAAGAATTTGTCATATCTAAAAAGCCTACAGTTTAAAACACCAGTACCACTTTTTCGGGGGAGAGAAGGGCCTACCATTAGCTCTTCCAACTTGTCAACGTACGCTTGTTTAGCCTGATCCTCGCCTTCCTCATATAGCCAGTCTTCAGTCTCTGTGAGGAGTCTCAAAAAGCTCTGATGGTCCTTTACATGAAACATGACAAAGTTAAAGGCAATCTCACTTAGGTTTTACCCCAAGACAGACATCTAGGAACTCTAAACACCATGTGACTTCATCTGGGAAGGCAGTCTATGCTGGATTGTCATCACAAAAAATATCAATACTACTACTTACTGGCTTGCTCTATACCAGCGATGGCAAATGTTTTAAGAGATCGACTGCCGAACTATAACTCAAAACCACTTATTTATCACCAAGTGCCCATACTACAATTAAACTTGAATACTGAGGTTTTAGTTTAGAAAAAACAACTCTGCACTGTTTTTTGTCTTAAAAGAAAACAGTAACACAAGTGCCATAGATTTGTCACCACTGCAAGTCTACACACTATTTTACAGGATGGACCATATGCTCTATAGCTTCTCTATCTTGCTACTAACAGTATTTGTGCTTCTGCTAAATTGCTCCTGACTTACAATTAGTAAATTTCTTTTTAATTCTACAACTATGAAATACTAATAAGGAAGCTATAGAAACTTTCAATCCCATCAGAGAACACATGGGGAAAAACTCGTTGCTACTCACTTTGAATAACGTGGGAGATCCGACTCCTCAAACTGAGGGCGAGCCAGCCTGTCAGGTCTAGCCTGCTTTATCACCTCAGTCACAGGACCCAGGAAATGCCAGCGCAAGGCTAAGAGCCTGAACTACACACACACATCACGAGGTAGCCAAGCTATCCCAGGACTGCTTCAGACACCTAACCTAAGTTTAAATGACCTTTAATCTCAAAATTAGTCTCACTTTTTATGTAGTCAATATTTTTTCAAGTCTTTCCGAGCCACCGTGACTGGGAGGTAAGTAAAGGGGCAACAGGAGCAGCGGTGCCTGATAAAACACTAGAAAGACTGACTACAAAGGCCTCATGAGATGAAGTAGTAACAGCTGCCAGGGGAGCAGCATCATAAAAAATAACATGAAAGACACTGATTGATGCCTTAGAAAATAGACTTCTTACTTCTCTTCCTAGCCTCACTAACGAAAATGTCATATAGTCTAATAGCTTCTCTCTTCTCAATGGTAAAAATTAATTTATTGGGATAAGCTACAATAAAATAAAACTGCTCTTCTCTAGTGATCCCCTCTCATCGTGACTTTTTTTATTCAACTTCTATTTTCGAATTATTTTAAGTCCCATCTAGAAGTGGAAATGTCAAACGTCATCATTAAACATTTTATACAGCGCTATCTGAGTGAAAATAGATTGCTAAAACGCACCTGCTCACAGATGAATTTTTCATACGGCCCACACAGCTTGTCCCTGAACTCATATACATATTCTTCCACTGCGTTTTTAGCATCGTTTCTTTCTTTTTCCAATTTATCCTGCATTATCATCTTCCCCTGTCAAAACACAAAAGTGTATTCCAGTACTTCAATGAGTCAAACTAAATCTTAACTAGTGTTAAAAAATCATTGATTATTCAAAAGCTCAGTATAAAGTCCCAAATTATACTTCATGACATTGCACAAATTCTAGGCCAAGTTCATTTTATAATACACATAAAATTATTTTTAATATATAATAATAAATTACATAGCTTCCATATAAACCCACTGCTTAAATCTAACTTTATTTTCCTATATCTAGCTTCATGGCTGTATCATGTTGGGATTAACAATGGCCAATATATAATGGTCAAATCACTTCATACTACCTTAAAAAAAAAGAAATAAAATTTCTAAGCACAATATTTCCATCACTATAAAAATGAATATAAAGTATTTTACCTATTAAGAATGTCATAACCACTAAAAACAAACAAATCCAGGAAACATTTTAAAATAACATTTTGTGTGGCCTGAATTTCCTTGCCTAGCGCTCCACGTCTAGTGCTATGATATATCATGATCCAGTTTCTTAAGAACTCAAGAATTTTATACCAAGCAGAAAAAGCTATGGCATGTATCTCAAGTTTGAGTATACTAACCAGTAAATCTTACTGTAAATTGAACAATCCATTAGTTCTGGCTTCATCCTACCCCTGAAACCATATACAAGGAGTGATCAAAATATCCCCCGCAGTGTGAACACTCAATCCCACCGCTTCTGCCATCTCCACAGGAGTGGCTGTGGAGGACTTCTGTGAGCAGTGTCCCTATGTGGTGAGCGCTGCAGCTGAGCGCTAGCCAACGCAGGGGCAGGCTCATAGAAACTCACAGCCTGTACTCATCTACCTTTCCGTGCATCCTCGCCTACCTCACCCACTGGCTCTAGTGCTGCGCAACCTCTGGTCTTCCTCAAAGTCAGAATGACCACGAAAGCTAAATGGTGTGAGCCAAATTAGGACACTGAGGCAGCCCTCACAGCACAACTGAAGACAAAAAGAGAGCTTACAGATCCACTTCACAACATGGCAAGAATGTGGGAGAAGTACGTTTGAATCAAGGGACAGTACTGTGAGGGGCATCAATAGCAATTTATCTGTTACTATAACATGTTTTGAAATTTAATGTTCCTTGTATTTTTCAATCATATCTTATAGACTTACAATATAAAAAAATTATAGTCAGTTCTATTAGATACAATACAGATATTAAGAAAATCAAAGCAAAATGTACAATAAAATAAAAACACCTGGTAGAATCACCTACCTCTGTCTCAATGTACATGTTAAGAAGGTCTTTGCCTAACTGCCAGACCAAGTTGGCTTCAATAGGTAGCTCAACATTCACCACCTTTATTTTGGGTTTTTTAGCTTCTGGAGGTTGGTCAACTTTCTTTTCACTTGCCTTAAGAGAGGGGTTAAAAAAACAAAAAACAAAACAGAAAAACTCAATCCTTGAAAAACAACAACAAAAAAACCCTATTACTTTTACTGATTACCTACACAAAAATAAAAATAAAATCCCTAAAGTTATCAATTTGACATCATCTATTATCTCACCTAATTCCTCCTGCCCATTTTAAACCAGGGCTGTAATGAACTTACATGAGTCATGTCTTCTGTAATGAACGTCTAAGGACATTTTTCTCATAAAGTTAAATCTTGCCTGTTTTACATTTTTATTCATGGGCCTTTTAAAACATTCTAATCTCTTTAAGCATTTTGTGATTTCAAAGCCAAAATTTACTAATTATCTATACAGTCTGCAATTTGACAATTACTCAATATAAATTTTGACCAAGACTAAAGATATTAAGATTTAATCAACTTTAAAATTTGTATTTTAGTCCATATATCCTGGTATTATGCCTATTTCATTTAACAATAATTAGTTCTACACCTTATAAGTAGCTTTTAAAACATACTAAACTTTGAGATTATATTTATGACCACATACATCTTATTTCTATAATCTGACCTGGAGTCATACCATTTCTCATAGCAACTCTACAAGGTTAAAAAAAAATGACAATGTATGTGTTAAACAAACAAGATGATGCAACAAATGATAACACAGACTAGACATCTCTAATCTGAAAATCTGAAACTCTCTGAGGGCCAGTATAATGTCTACCATAGTGGAAAATTCCACAGCAAATTCCATGTGATGTTAGGCACACTAAAATTATTGTATACAATGACCCTTGGCCTACATGTGTAAGAAACATAAATGAATTTAGAGTTTAAGACTCAGATCTCCCAAGATATTTCATTAAATATAGGCAAACCTTTAATTCCCTTCCTCACCCACAATTTAAAATATTTCCAGCCCCAAGCATTTCAGATATGGATACTCAAAGTCTAGTTTATTGAAGATTTTTCAAAGTATGTGAATATAGGGCCAAAGAAGTTAAGTATCTCCTGGGCCTTTAATTTTCCAAGGCTTTCTATACATTACTGCTTCTTCAGGTTCCTGGCACAAAAAAACAACACAACTGAAGAAACTCAAAGCTATATGACAAATCAGATGACAGCCAAAGTTTACCATATATTGTGGCTGATTAGTGTGGTAAAAAGGGAAAAACCCAACCCCTGACACACAATAATCATAGCATGGATAATCCGAGCTGTAAGCACTTTAATCATAGAACCTAGCACTAGACAGTGCAATCACTTGACTAAAATGCCAAGATACAGGACAAGCATGCATGTTTTCTAGACTTGAATCTCATTGTTTCTCAGCAATCACGTGTCTGCTAAATGCTACAAGTAGTCTTACATGCTGTGATCTATTTGGCCTGGCCACCAATACCTATGCCTCCTCTTTCCCTCTAGTGCCTATACAAGCTCTCCAATGTACTGTGCAAATCCTGAGAGCAAAATCCACAACAAAACTGAACCAGATGTTACCCAGAGCCAGGGATTTAGCTCAGTAAATGCCTGCCGGGCAAGCACAAGGTCCTGAGTTCGATCCCCAGTACCAAAAAAAAAAAAAAAAAAAAACCTGATAGCAGATGTTACCCATACCTAACAAGACACTAGGTGTGCAACAGATATGGGGAAACAATGCGGATGACAGTTTGTGCAATGCAATTAAATGAAAGTAACTCAGTACAAAAACTAAGCCAACTACTAACAAAATTGGTTAATATTACCACAAAAATGCATTCTGACACGGCATGGATAGGGAATCAGTAATAACATTTTAAAAAGCTGAGACTAGTAGTCTCACCTACATCTAAGAACTGAGAGTCTACCCAATGTCATGTTCTACACAGGTATTCAGATTAGCCACAAAATTTTATGTACTACACTCAAAACCAAGGGCCCTAATGTGGAAATTAAGTAGCTATTTTTCTAAATTCTTACTAACAAAAAGGAAGGTAGCTTTCAGAAATGTATCAGAACCTATAGCTCATATTAAGAGCCTCACAGAATTAATCAGGACATAGGCAAATTAAAAACTGTGACCTCTTACCTAGTTTAAAATCCAGTCTGACCCCATTCAACAATTCTGTAATTTGCCAAGGGAATGTGAGAGAAAACCAAACTAACAATGACAGGTAAATAATTTACATGCAAGTTGCACATACACAGAACTTTTGTGAAGTATAGAATGACCTGGAGTGGGAACAGTGGGAACTTCTTGATACCATGTGAGCATAAGTTTTTGTTTTTTTTTTTTTTTTTGAGCATAAGTTTTAAAAGTTTGATTAGAAGCTATCATCTTTCAATATCATTATTTATTTAACTAAGCTTCCAATAGCTACTACAGTGGAAGTCGGGCAAAGGTATAATTACTTTGAAATACAATCAGGTCATTACCAGATATAATCATAATTAGTTTACTTAACTTTGACAGATGACTTGAAGAAGTATATTTACTAGACTCCTATAGCCCATATTTTTTTTGTCTGATTAATCTATGTGAAAATTAGTTAACACAACATACTTTTTCCTGCCTGTGGCATTAGCAGATACCTCTGCCCTTCAGAAGACAACAAAGGTTTTGCATTAGTCTTCTGTTAATTGGAGAAGCTGTTACTCAAGAGAAGTTTTTAGGTCTAAAGGAGGGTATTCAACTCCCTCAGCTGAGCTCAAGTACCTCTAACTGATCTGAATAACACGTAGAAAATTAACAGAAAATTCTATATAGTATAAAATCATTTGGAGCCCGCTCTTGAAACTGCGGATTTAATATCATTAACGATAACATGTTGCAACAGTGTCTAATGGAATGAACTAGAAGAGTCACTCACTTTGTCAGCATCTGGGTTTTTGTTTTCTTCTGAGGTAAGTTCAGGTGAAGGGGGAGACTGTGAGGTTTGTTGACCATCAGTTTGTACCTGGGGCTGTGTTCCAGCTTCACTGTTGTCTTGCTGGATATTTTTCTGAAATGAAAGCCCAGGCACAAAGGATGTAGAAAGCAGGTGTACTTGTATAAATTTAAAAAGTTATAGGGTACCAACGATAGTACACTGAATTTTTGAAATCTTAATAGGTGGGCAGAAAAGGTACTGAATAAAAGCAAAATGAACACAAAGTACTTGAAAATGTCTTAAGGAATTTTAAACCTGTAAGAAATTCTGTGAATGACAGTAGTTAACAAGTAACACAGGTAGGCATTTGATTGATGTGGTGACAATCAAGAACTCCCCTTAAGAAGCTTTCATCTAACCTTGTGCAGGTAACTAATTCTCAAAAGCACTGGAGGTAAATTACTACTACAAGCCTCTTCCTCAGAAACAAACTTCCAACGCCTCCTGTCATTAGCAGCCACTGTGCACCTCCACATTCTCTCCACTTATGTAAAATGGCCAGCCATCAGTTACTCCAGGGCTTATGATTCCAGCCTACGGATGCCTTAGACTCTCTCTGTCCCACTTTCATTTTGTGAATCAGCCTTTTTACCTCACAGGATCTCAAAATAAAGAATAAGTGCTACATGTTACCAATTCTGACTAAAAACCTGATAAAGGGAAGCAAAATGAATCCTAAAAGCTTTCTTATCTTATTTTTAATAGCCTTCAATCCCCAAATCAGTGTTTGCTATCCTTTGCCACCATTTGAAGAAGCCTGCCACACTGGAACTATACTCTGTCCAACCTGAAGTCTCATGTTTTTCTTACAAAGCTTCAAAAATCTAAGGCAGACAATGAAATACTGAAAAGCAAGCATTACTAACATCCCTAAGGCATTGAAGGACCCAAAAGTGTATGACACCGTCATTTAACTCATTACCATGCAGTTCCTAGACAAGGAGAACAGCAAGGGTTGGCAGTTCACGTTCCTACTGTTCTGGCCTGGCTGACAGTTAGTACGTGACCCCTGTTTCTCATACGTTATCTCAAACACTCCACTGGTTGTCTCTTCAATCTAGTTATTTGTGATTATTTCCCAGAAAGAAACTGCAATAGATGTAGTACGTCAAGCTTCCTAAAATTCTGTTAACCATGTAGAACTGGTACCTCATACTAAAGAAAGTATAACTTAAGATGATGAGCAGTGCAGACACTTCTCTTCCTTCCTCCCACAAAAAGGAAAACAATGTTAATAAAAGTTCCAACACCAAAGTCAACTTTACCACATCGATTACAAAAAAAAAAAAAAAAAAATCAGCTTTAGTATTTCACCAGTTAAATAGTAGTGTTTTCTTAACCATCAGTCAAAAGTTGCAATACACAGGATGTAAAACACCCCCCATGCTCTAAATCACCACCTGAGTTACTACAAATTCAATTACACCAAATTTAGTTATAAGTATATATTTCTGTGTACTGCATTAAATGGAAAAACTGTTTACACATAATTCTGATCAAAATTATTTATACGAAAAACATTTTAACCCTTCCCTACTCTTTTCTCTGCTAACTTAGAATGAAGTCAACTTTATATTGGCAGGCAAAAATCTCTTCAGTAACTTACTTCAGTGTCTGGGTTTTCAGATGGTCTCTGATTGGGACACTCCATGTCTGCTTCAATAGAAGACACTTCACTGTCTTCAGTTAGAATTTTCTCCACCATAGAGGCCGTAGAGATGGTGAAAATGCCGTGGGTGTTCACTCGAACTTTGACTTTGACTTTTGATTTCTCTCCATCTTTCTGTGCAGAAACGTTCTGAACTACAAACCGACCTAGAACAAAAAGATATTGATAATTTTACAGTTGATTCTAAATCTCTGTAAAGAAGATATAAGAAAAATGCAAGCACTGTCAAGCATTAAAACTTGAAAGTACTATTTCAAAATCTAGTACCTCTTCCCAACCAACTTGAGATGTGTACTATAACCTCTTAAAATACACTTGTAAGTATATAGTATATTTATAATTCTTAGGATTAGTCTTAGTACTCCATAAAAACCTTTAAGGATAAGGGTACAGTTGTAAATAAAACTTTCTGGGCAGATACTGTTTGTAAAATAATGATGAAAAGTAGTCTATGCTGCCTGTCTTACTTTCCCAGATGGATAAGCACAAACCAGACATAAAAATCTGTTAGCACCAAGTCTACGGCAGATGATCATGCACTTGGAGTCTTTTAAGGGGTATTACTCTTCTGACTGAATAATCAAAACATTTTAAAGTATGAAATATAGTTCAGAGTACAGATGCAAACCTTGGCTCTATCACCCACTGTAAGTTATTTAACTTACAGTTCTGAGGGCTTGAGTCTGTGTTTATAATGGACATTTACTATAGAGCCTGTTGCTAGTGGTTATCACTACCAGTAGTATTGTTATTCCAGAGAAACTAAACCAAAACTATTCTGAACTTACTATAATTTACGTAAAACACTCAAGAACTTAGATTTTATCTTCTGCACAGTGCACAGAATAGACCCTGTGAAAATCTTAGTCTACACCGAATAGTTTCCAAAACTATTTTCCTACAAGTATTTAAAAAACAAAACAAAAATGATGGGTAAGAACATTTTAGCCTTTTGAAAAAAAAAAATCACAAGTGGTCTGGTTGGCCTCCTTTACTTCAAAAGATCTCTTTTGAAAAGGGACCTGAAAAGGAATGGGCCAGAGTCCCGAGATTTGGCAATACTGGTAAGTTATACCCTCAATTTGGAAAAGAGTTACTATGAGCAACATTTCATAGATAGTGCTATGTCTCCCAAAGAAAAATGTACCTAAAAAATAAACTTTAGCTGGATGTAGTGGTGCAAATCTGTAATCCTAGCACTCAGGAGGCTGAGGCAGGAGGATCATTGTAAGTTCGAGACTAGCCTGTGCTACAAAGCAAACTCAAGGCCAGCTGAACTACATAGTGAGACCCTGTCTCAAAAAGACCAAAAACAAACAAACAAAAAACGATAAACCTTTAAGAAAGGTAACAATACCAAAGTACATTCTGTTAACAGTCTGAGCCAGGTTTTACATACTGTACAACATCCCGTAAAAACAAAGCATTTCACCTACAAGGTTAACACCAGAAGTAGGCAGTAATTTTTAAAGTATAAACTGTATCATGCTGAAATATTCCTAAATATATTACTTTGGAAAAATTGCCAAATCATTTCATCTGGATAGGCCAGGGATGGCAAACTTTTTAGAGATGACAGACAAGTGCCACAATGCAACCCAAAACCCACTCATGAGGTACCAACACCACAATTAAACCTGACTACTGAGGGTTTAGTTTAGAAAAAAACTCATACATTAACATCCTTTGTCTTTTTTTTTTGTACCGGGAATTGAACTCAAGACTGTGTTTGCCAAGCAGACACTTACACCATTGGGCTAAACCCCTGGCCCAAAACATCTTTTGTCTTAAAAAACACACATGTCACAGCTTCACCACCACTGGAACAGGCCAAGGTACTCATCAATCAAATGAAGAGATTTCTCCATCACCAATATTTTAAATAGAAAATATCTTCACATAGAGTATCACTCAATACTGATGAGAAATTTTTTTATATTGATAAGCTAAGTGTTTAATTCATGCAACAAAATACATACAATTAACAGCTTACCTATTTTTGCTTCTGGATATGGAACTCCTTGAGGATCAGAATAGAAAGCTTCTAGCTCAAAAGGTCCTCTTCTCAAGAAGGTGAGAACTTTGGAGAAAGGGGCAGCATGGTTTCGACTAAATACTTCATGAACCCTGAAGAAAGGAAATGATATTCAAGAGATCAAGAACTTAAGCTTACCATGCTACACAAATGTAAGGGACATTCTAAAATACTTATGAATTCATCTCATCATTTAAAATACCAGTATAAAAGAAATACTTTAATAGGTTTGGCTGTTGAAAATCCCAGGTAGATTGAGCACTCCACTTTTTTAAGTAATTTGTTAATTTTTCTTCTTTACATTAAAGATAGTATCTGAAGTTATTTTCTGGCTACATACCCTTCAGTATCCTCTGAATCATGGTTCCATACCAGAGATATTGGAAAAGGAACTGAGTCTGTGACAGAAAATTCTCGAACTTTAAATGCTGGAGAAAGGATTGCACACTTAAAACAAAAACAAGGAGTACATGATTAGTTTCTACTCATTTTTAAAAGATTAAGTACATGTTTGCAATACAAAGTATTTACCTTCATTATATATAGTTGATACATGTACAAAAACACATCTTAACTCATTTATATATGCCTTGTGTTGCATTTTTGGAATGAAACAAGGAACATAATAAAAACTTGGGGAATCGGTTAAGCAGGCATATTTCATATGCAGGAAAACCTCCAGATAACATACTACCATGATAGCACAGTGGTATCACTAAGAGACAATATCCACATAATCTTCCTTTTATAAGTATTAAAAGTCTTAAGAATGCTGTTTACAGGACCTTTTTTTAATATGTAAAAATACATAATACAATCACAGTTCAAGCATGTTAATTTTTTTGTCTTTTTCCTTTTTATCAGTACCAGGGATCGAACTCACGTCTGCCTGCTTGTAAGCCAGGCGCTTATGCCGCTGAGCTAAATCCCCAGCCCCTAACCATGTTAATTTCTAAGTTGAAAACTAGGCCTTTTCTAACTATAAAATCCTTAATATATATATATATATATTTTTTTTTTTTTTTACAAATGACTTGTAGATTTACTACCTCTGCTGCACCAAACTATTAACTTATAGGCTCTTATTTGATAAGCAGATCAAAAATCAATTGGAGGTGAGGTAGGTACGGGTATTGTAGACTACTACTGTTAACCCTGCACACTTTCCCTAAATTAATTCCTTATTAAATCAGATTATCATCCTAATTTGCTTCTTTTATACTGTCACTAATTGTGCTAAAGTTTTACAGCTGTGTTTTTTGTGACCCTCTCAGAATAACGCCTGTTTCTAATTTCCAGTTTGAGAAACACCAGCCTGATAGGTCTTTTAAACTTACATTTACTGAATGTTCCACATCTGAACACATACCCTTACCTTACGGGTTTATTTAAAAATAATTTCCTGGCTAGGGATTTAGCTCAGCAGCATAAATGCCTCCCTGGCAAGTGCAGGGTCATGAGTTTGATCCCCAGTAAAGAAAAAAAAATTTCCTTTTGCCATCTAACTAGATACCCATTTCTTATATTAACCACAATGAGTAAAAACTGGAAACAGTTCAAGAAATGCATACCAAGAAAAAACAGGACTAAGAAATTACCTGTAATGCGCATCCTCTAGCGACTGCTTCATCTGCATTGAGTGTTGTACTAACATCTTTTCCAAAGAATTTTGCAATTTTTTCTTTCACGGCTGGAATTCGTGTAGTGCCCCCAACTATCTCAACAGCACTCACATCTTCTACTTTGAGCTGAGTTTGCTCCATCAGGGAATAAAGGGGAACTTCTATTTTTTGTAGGAGATCTGCACAGAGTTCTTCAAACTGTGACCTTATCAAGTGAAACAACACTTTATAAGTCACTAAAGAAATTACCTTATGGCCAATATCATTTTAACATTTTTTAAACAGTGAGTCTTATCAATCACAGTACAGTGTTTCATTTTTTCCTCAGATACACTATAATGAACCCACATGAATCAACTTTAAAACTATATTGCACATATAAAACAAGTAAAGAAAAGGAAGGAGAAAAATCAGTTCTATGGGTATTAGGAGGAAAAAATTATTCTTAATATTGCCATTTTACCTCCAAATGTTCTACAGGATCTAATTCTTATTACTTTAAATTATTTATTACCATTAATTTCTAAACATCTATGTGAAATAATTGGGACCACAAAAACTAAAAAGTGAAAAATACCAAAAAGGCTTCAATAGGACAGCACTTAGCAAAGGTATTTTTTATAACACTCTTTGCAGAAGTACGCAAGTTCTAATGGTCTCTCCAGTCATAAGCTTTATAGCATACAATCCTGAAACAACGTAAGTTGTGATACATAATACCTAGCTACCACTCATACCTAGACCTAGCTTCACCAAGAAGTTCTATTTATTTGATCTGTAAAATTTAAGACATACCTGTTCATCTTTCCTGAAACATCTTTGTCATTCATAAAGCATTCAATATTCAGTGGTATGTCTGTGCTGTTAGAACTCATCAGCTTTTTCAATTTTTCACATTCCTGATACAGACGAAGGAGAGCCCGAATTCTGGATTTTGCATCCAACTTGTACTTAGTCTTAAACTCTGCACAAAAATGTTCCACTAATTTTTCATCAAAGTTTTTCCCTCCTAAGAATGGATCAAAAGCTGTTCCCAGTACCTAATTTAGTTAAAAAAAAACAAATAATATGGTTATTTTAAATCATATTTATAATTAGAATCACAAAAATTGCCATTCAAGGGCTGGGGATTTAGCTCAGTGGCATAAGTGCCTGCCTTGCAAGCAGGCAGTCGTGAGTTCAATCCCCAGTAACAATTAAAAAAAAAAAAAAAATTGCCACTCAAGCAAACACTAATAACTCAAGACTTCTATTTAAATTATAACATGAAATTCAAGTCAGAAGAAAATATAAACTATAAAATCCTGATTGAATGCTAAATCTCTAAGGTATTTCTGCCATTTACTGATTACCTTAAAAAGTTTCTTTATTCCTAAGAAAAGCATCTTAAAGAGTATGCTAAGTTGTAACAAATGAAACACTTTGTGCCTTGGCCATATAATTCTAAAGTCGGATAGTTACCTTCAGTTTGCCCTTGTTAAAAGCACAGGCAGACACCTGAAGAGCTGAGTGTCCCATATCAACAAAGACGACTATCCGAGGTTTCTCCTCCGGGCTTGGGAGATCCTGCTTATAAATTCCATAATTCAAAGCAACTACAAAAAAGAAGTGTATTTCAATTTCTTGGTCCATATTTTCTTAGAAATTTCACCATTACATATAATTCACATCCATGAAAATTGACTACATGTGAAACAATTTAAGACAAACAGGTTCCTTGTACAACTGATTTTATACTGACTTTCCTGGAATAAATTATTATCCTCTTCCTGACCTGAAAACAACACTTTTATCAATCAAAGATGCAGCTGACAAAACATAGTTGAAGACAGTATATAACCAGAAATGTAACAAACCACATTCACAAAGAGTATTAGACACATTACACAATACTTAAAAACCACAATCTGAGGAGACTGCTTTAAAAAAAAAAAAAAATTAAGAATTTAACACAGCTGTAGCAAATAGAATTCCTTCAGGTTTTGTTTGTTTTTTCAAACAGGGTCGAGCTAGCCTCAAACTCGAGCAATTCTCCTGCCTCAGCTTCTTGAGTGCTGGGATTTTCATACCTGATAGTTTTTTAAGGTACAAACCTTAAAGGGTCTCCCTTATTTCTAAAGGTAGAAATCCTTGTATTTGAAACATGCATACGTAACAGCTTTTCAAAGTTTTATTAGAAATATTTTTGTTTTTCTATAAACACAAGCTGATTGATACAAGCAGTAAAGGGACTACTTTAGTCACTGCTGTATCCATAATACCTAAAACTATGCCTGGCAAATAACTACTTAAATCGATACTTCTGGATTGATTGACTTGTGACTATCATTCAAGAAACAAATTGAATCACTACTGGTAGTCTCAAGGTAGTTGTGATACTAAGAACTGTACAAAGACTTGGAGAAGCCTCTTAATTTAAATGCTTAAAAATACATATTGTAAAACAATTTTCTAATAATAGTACCTTAATACAATAAATTTGACAAAGCACCTCTTCATTTTTGCTTTTAACTCTAACATATGGCCTTTTTAAAAACTGAGCTTTTCAGTCTGTAATAGCTAAATCTTGGAAACAGCCCAAATGCCCGTCAACTGATGAATGAAGAGTGGTGAGGGTTTTTTTAAATACACTGGAAAACTACTCTGCCATAAAGAATAACCCCGAGAAATTTACAGGCACATGGATATACCTTGAGACCATACACTTAAGTCAAATAAATCAGACACACCTATGGAAATACCATATTGCTTATCTGGTGTGAGAAACCAAATGTAAAACAAGAACCAAAATGTGTAATAGATACTATAAAATAGAAAAAAAATGTTCAAATGGGAAGGAGAACTTGGGAGTGGGGAGAGGGAAAAGGGAAAATAACAAAATGAGAAAAGGAGGAAGAGATAGAAATGAAGCTTTTGTAAATAAGGAGGGGAAGTGGGATGAAGAGAGAATAGAGGAATAGGAAGAAAAAAATCTCGTTATATGATGTGCAGGAACAAATTCCCTATGATGAATATGATCACTATGTATACCTAAAATGTACCAATAAACTTAATTTAAAAATGAGTAAGTAAATAGCTGTGCTCCTGCCTCTATATAAAAATTATATGGCCCATTCACTTCTATAAACACTTTTTTCTTACCAGCTGTCATATCATTCATAAGTCTTAAACAGTTCAGGCCAACAATTTGTGCAGCATCTAGTACAGATCGTCTCTCAGCATCTGTGAAGAATGAAGGAACCTACAAACAAGAACAACATTTATACAGAACACAGAAATACTTACAAACTTCTCCCAAACCATCTGTAGTAATTCATAGCAGTTCAACTAAGTAGGTGCCTAGCTAGGTTCCCAAAAAGACTTAGACTTTAGTTTTTAGCAAGTTCCTTAGCTTCCAGAAACTGTTAACTACTTTTGAAAAGATCTCAAAATTATAGTCTCAAAGTAAATATTATGACCAAATTTTAACCTGAAATGAGTTAATCACATTATTCATAAGGTATCATGAAAGTCACTTCAATATAATGAAAATTATCAAGTAGATAAAATACCGCTTCCAAATTAGCCTTAAATTTCTAACATTTTGAAAATTACAATGCTAAGCCAATATTTAATGTTAAATGTAAACCATAATCCTAAGCCTCAAGTAAGCAGTATTGGAAGGTAAGAAAGAACTTATTGTAGCATATCCCACTGTCCTTCCCTTTTGCTATTCACCGAGTTCAAGCATTGATAGGTAATAGGGGACTTAACTCAGTAGACCAGGCAAGTCCTCAAAAATGCTTTTTGGCAAAGCATGATTTTCCTAAGTGGTAGAAGAGTGAAAACAGATCAAAGGTTTTAATTTCTGATGGCGTTTTAATACTTGGCTTCCTTCTGGGCAGCGTGATCGAAGGCACTTATTAATAAAAATGTATATAAAAACACTTTCCATAGACTCCCTTAACTGGAATACCTAAAAGAAAACCTGGTAGATTTCCACATTTTTTCAAAGGATCTGTGGATGCTTTAGGAGACTGGCAAGACCCAAAGTGGGTCTCAGCTCATCTTTCAAGTCACGACATTCCTTTCATCAGTTTTCCGTAACAGTCTATTCAAAAGGTTTGTTTAAAAAAGAAAAGCCTCCCAACACTTGGGAGGCTGAAGCAAGAGGATCACTGAGAGTTTGAGACCAGTCTGGGCTACAAAGTGAGGTCGAGGCCAGCCTAAACTGCATAGTGAGACTGTCTCAAAAAGACAAAAAAGGAAAAGAAAAAGAAAAACAAACAAACAAACAAAAAAAAAAAAAACAGAGGAGGAGGAGGAGGAAGGTGAGAAACAACAACTCTTAACTTTCCCAGAGATTAACACTATGACTCCAAGCAACAGTCTTCCGCTTGAACATTTTCTGTCTTTGAGAAATGTTAGCCCTTGCTACCCGTTCTCTTTCATATCCTAGGATATACCACAAGAGAGGCTTTGGACTGGTCAGAGGAGTTCACACAGTATAACACAGAAACTGTGCTGAAGCTGAGTCCATTCCAGAAAATCCGACCCAAGAACATAACTCTAACACATCAAGAAATGACCCTAGTTATCTGAGAAAGCAGAATTTACAATTACCCCTGTGGCATCAAAATACGAACTTTTGTCCAGGTCAAGTACTCTGACAGTCTACCTAGCAACTGCCCACTGAAGATGGCAAGATTGCTAAAGCCTGTACGTTTTGATACTACCAGTAGGCTACATTTCACAACGCTTAGCTTCAACACTACCTCTCAACTGGGCAGAATTCTTTTACCTGTGAAAAGCTCATGTACGTAAGATGTATGCGATAGCAATGAAGGGTATTAAGACTACAAATGCTCCAGTCAATCTGTACTTTCAAAAACCCCACAGATTTTGTGTTAATAGTGCTAATCAAGAACCATTATAACTTCTGACAGAAAGTATCCAACATATCCTGAAATGCTACAGAACAAAACTATTGACAATTTAGAAGCATTCTGCTCTACAGTGTTAAACAATTTTCACACAATTGATACTTAAGAGTAATTTAAAGAGGGTAAATTAAAATACAAATCCACTGCTGTGCTACTTACTGAAATAACACAATCTGTTACTGGTTTCTTGAGGTTGTTTTCAGCAGTTTCCTTTAACTTAGTCAACAACATGGCTGTTATCTGCTCCACACTAAACAGATGTTCTTCGTCCATGTACATCACCTATATTGATGGAAAACAATGTTTTAAATGCCATAGTACTGGAGTTAAATGCTAGTATTAACTTTCAAGTATTAACACATTCTCTTTCACAAATTATTTTGTTTCAGAAAGGAAGAAGGAAAAAAGGAAAGGAGAAAAGGGTAAAAACTTCGCAACTAGATCAAATGGAGGGAAAAAAGCTAGAGTAGGCATTCCTCTATTGAAAGTCTTAATCAACACTATTATAGAAGGTAAGACAAGATGAATCACTGGAATAAATATTATTGTGTGTTGATCAAAGACAGACAAGTCTCTCATGGTTTAGAAAAAAATTTCTCTTTATATTACACTATTGCTCACCAAACAACTCTGAGCTGTCTCAGATTATGCATTTGTTTCATCTTCAGGCAACATGTAGATATTTTTTAACCATCAGTAAACTAATTTTTTAACTGCCAAAACTTTAGAAGAAACACAAGATGTCAAAGTACCTATCACCATCTGTATAATTCTCAGAGACAGTTTACTGGTGCTAAATGAAAAGAACAAAGCCCTACCCCAATTAAGATATGTGAGTTACATATTTAAGAAACTAGTATTTTTCACAATAGATAAATTAAATAGTCTTGTATTAAAGAATCTATGGTTGCTCAATTTTATTACCTTTATTCCAACTCCGCTGTTTTTCATTGGAACCAAGTCATAACTTAAGTTTTCCTTCTCCTTTTGAATGAAGGGGTCATTGAATGTTCGGCCATGAAATCTCTTGAAGTTAGACACCGTATTGTTTGCATGAGTGATTTGCTACAAAAGAAGTTTGAGATTTTAAAGTTTTAAGTAATTTCATCACTCTGTAGTACCTGCAGAAGCAGTTTCACAGGCAGTTATTAGTATAAATAAAACCAACCCTAGGGATAGTAACTTTCCCTTGGGGCTCTAATGAACAGATTTTATTTGTATTTTCTCCTATACAAAATGCCAGAGGGAAAACAGGAGAGGCAATAGTGCAAGTTCAAATCTGCAAGATAAATTCAACAACAGTGAACCTATCCCTAAAACTCTGAGCACTCAATAACTGTACCACTCCATTTCACTCCTTCCCAGATAAAACTGTAAAGCACTAACTAAACTCAATGAATGAAGACCTGAAAACAGTATACAAAATAACATTTCTTTCTTTAGAATGTATGTAGTCAAATAAACTGCTAAGGAATCAAGATAAATATTTTATCTTATATGGATAAAATATACGAATTGCTGCTTCCCCTACCAACAGCAAGGAATGCTAATTATACAAAAAGGTAAAGGATAGAATAACTCAAAAAGTTTCTGAATTAATGCTTTCACAAGTATATGTATATTTTGGATGATTTGGCAGCTACAATTTTAAAAACAAGACAATGAACTCATCCTATCTTACACAACTGGTGCGTGTATGTTGTTAAATAACAGCACACTTAAACTCTCGCTCAGTTACTTTTATGTATTCAAAGGGGATGGTTCACTATCTCTTAGGTATGTAGGTGAAGTACAAATGCTTGGTCTGAAATTCAAGAAAGCTGGAAGGAAACAGGCCAATTGTTATGAAAAGTGGTTTTTTTTTTTTTTTTGGAGGCACAGTCTCACTATGTAGCTCAGGCTGTCCTTGAACTTATGGTGAACCTCCTGCCTCAGCCTCTCAAGTGCTGGTATTACAGGCACATACTACTATGCCTGGCTCAAGAGAAGTATGTTTTCTATATCTACCATTTGGGGTACATATTTTAGATAAACTCTAAATTCAAAAGCTCACTTCAGAGTATGTATTTCACTGTAAGGTGACATTTAAAATAATACTTAGAAACATTAAAAGCAACGAGCTGGAGTTACTGACTGTAAAATACCAACTTCATGATGTACCCCATTCTACTTCTTTTAAGAGTAGACAGACTAGCAGTATCACTAATTCAAACAATATGAAATGTGAGCATGTTTATATCCTAAAATTCCTCATGATTCTAAAACCGAGTTGAGGCATGTCTAGCTGTCTAGTTGAAGTAGGTCAGCTGAACATCATCAATCGAATTCTCCTCACATAACTACAAAGACCCAACAGAAATTTAGGTCTGGGCTATCAATGTCCTAATCAGGCACATTCAGAGCAAATATCCCACCAAAATCCTTTTCTTTTTTCCTTTTGACCAGTCATGACTAATTTTGAGTGTCTGTAACTGAATTTTCTTCTTTCCAGCCCCCTTTCCCAGCTATTATGTCTTCAAACCTAAGCAGTCATATTACATGTATTTGGGGCTCAGAGGTTCTTTTTTTAGTAATATACTGTGTATGTAGAATTTTTTTTTTTTCATTTTTCTTAGCATTGAGGACCAAACCCAGAACCTTACACCTGCTAGGCAAATGCCACCGAGTCAAATCTCCAGCTCTGTTACTTTTTATTTTTTAACAGGATGGCATTGAGATAGGGTCTTACTTTGTAGTCCAGGCTGGCTTTGAACTCACTATGTAGCCAAGGCTGGCCTTGAATTTATGTCAATCCTCCAGCGTCCGCCATTCAGGGATTATGGGTATGTGCTACCAGCCCTGGCACCTCTATTTTCTTAAAAGTATCTCAAAAGGCATTTTACTTCCCTTTTTTGCTTCCTAATGCCAAAGGATTTAGATCAGTGCTGTTAAACCAAATTATAATGTAAGCCATAAGTGTAAATTTTTAACTAGCCACATTAATTTTAACTAGTAACATTACTAATAACTTATAGTAACAAGTGAGATTATAACTTAGGAGACATTTTTTAAGTCTTCAAAAATCTCATGTGTATTTTATACTTCTATTTCAATTCGGACTAGCTGCATCTCAAGTGCTCAACAGCCACATACAGCAAACAATTATTGCATTAGCCAGCATAGGTCTGGACAAAATGTTCTCCCATCCTACCAATTACTCAATAACCTGAAAACACTTTAAAACACAGAACTTCTTAGAAATTCCTTCAATAAAAGAAATCTTTTATTGAAATGCACATGGAAATTTTCAAGTGTCTTGTTCATAATCTTAAAAAATTAGGAAAAAGGTAGCAGAATTATTAAAAATTAAAATTGGCAGACTGGAAAGATCAAGTAGAACTTATTCAACAGAACAAGAGAATACAAACAGCAAAAATAATCATCTGAGGGTTCAAAAACACTATCTGAATTACATTTTTAAAGCTCAAAAATTGATGAGCTGAACTGCTTCCCACACTTGCAAGTCTCTAAAATTTTCCTTTTAAAACCTCTCCCTTTAAAAATGATTGAATTCTCTTAAAGAACATACCTGATTTTTGGCTGCAACTCCAATTGTTCTGTTTTTTGAACCAAATGATATGACTGATCTAGAAGAAAAACACATTGTTTCAAAAATGTCAAGCACAAATGTGAACAAATTCTACTATAAAATTAAAATTCTCTAATGTTGCAGTGGGAGACACTTGTAGCATAATTTGGGAGTCTATCTTTTATCAGGTGTAGGGTGAATTCCCACTCAAAGCTGCACTGAGAATTTAATACTAATAGGAGCAGTCTGACCATGCCAGAAGAGTCTGCTCAGGGCTCAGGGCACATTTGCCAATACTTCAAGTAGAAGTGTCACTTATCAAATCCTCAAGTACTAGAAAGTAAGTATCATCTCAGAAATATTTTGAGTATTATTATACCTGACCTACACATAAGCAACACAAAATATGGTGTAACTCTACCTCTTAGTCACCAACTGTACAAATCTGAATGTCATTGTCATACCTATTTTTGTCCTGACATACCAGCTGTCTCTTTAGGATTCAACAGTTTTTATTATAAGCAAATTAACCTAAGCAAATGAACCAAAAGAGGTTCTGACCTGGACGATGCTACATGAAAAGGTCAAATAAAAGTGATGCAGAACAGTTCACAGCAAAGTGGAATACAGATGTTGTGGTAAAAGACTGAGTAAGTTATATTAAGTCTCTCTTTCAGCTAAGGAAATGGAATGCATAGCAACAGCAGAGACTAGATCAAGAACAATCTTGTGAGAAGGAGGTAGTGATTAGAGTTTTGGATCCGAAGAGTAATCAAACTGTATTACTAATCCAATCTAATCTAATTTTGGATTAGTTACTCCTACGTAGGTAAATAAGATGAGTACAATGAAACTACAATGAGCACATTTAAATTTGCTGTACTAGAAACACCATGGACTAGATGCTAAACATCCTCAAAGCCAGGTAGATATTCAGATGCTAGGCCTTTCAACTACCGTCCAAAAACATCACTCTAAATCAAAAGGGACCTGCACATTTCCCAAGGGATCCACCAAATTAATTGCAATAAATAAGGGCTAACAATAGCAATACAAATGAGCCAACCACCTAGTTAAAATGTATTAAAATGGAATTCTAATGAGGCCCTCAGTTTGAATATTCAAAACCATACAAACAGTGGCCATGCTATACACATCATTTTTTCCTGCTCTCCTTTGAACAGCTTCTTTTTTTGGACCAAAGAGAACAAAGATGTAAAGTGTACCTAGGTATAAAAACCTGAAAACTGTCGTCTTTCTCAGTGAATTCTAATTACAGTTTTGACACTGTCAAAGAATAGACCACCGTGGATTTAAAAAGAGGTCAGAGGTAATTGCATGGGTTTGCTGAGAATGACAGGTAAGAGCAATCATATTTGCTCATTTTCCGATTTTCCAGTCACTTTCATTACAGGTTCATCTGTCTGCACGCGTGCACGCGCGCGCGCGCGCGCGCACACACACACACACACGGCTAGTCATTTTGCTTTTGGGTCCCATCTTTCAGTTTACACTGACAATATTGGGCTTAGTGCATGAGGGGTTAGCGGGGGAGACCTACGGGCCTGCAGTCATTTTCTTGAAAATGCGCTTTCTTTCATCAACGGTTATGTCTGTATCACTCCAGAAACGTTTTTTAAAACAAACGTTTAAAGCTACTTTTTAAAATGTTACCATTTGCTCACCCCTGATGCTATGCAATTTAATTCAGCGACATCCTTCTCATAAAGTTCTAGAACAAAAGTACGTCATTTTTATATCTTGTAAAGTGCACAGAATTATTAACAAATAAGAACGCTGTCTACTATTTCTTACGAATGGTTCCCACAATGAATAATAAAAGGTTGTTCGCGTGTTCTGAAAAGGATTCTGGGCACTAAGGCAACAGTACTAGCAACAAAGTGAATAGGTAAACAGGGATGTACTCAGCCTCCAAAGCGCTGGGTCTGGGCTCCCTGAGACAGGCAGCAGCCGCCTGGAACCTTCCAGTTCATTTCGAACCGCACAAGGCGGAAGAAAGAGCTCAGCAGCCCTGGCTCCGCGGTGCGCGAAGATGTGCGCGGAGGAGGGGGACAGGGTGGGGGCGGCTCTGCCAGCCCGGAGAAGCCGAATGGGGGACGCGGACGGGATCCGGGACCGGGACGGGGGCGGGCGCAGAGAGAGCCCGCTGCAGCCTGCTAACAAGGGAAGCCAAGCGATGTCGCGGGCTTTGCCGCAGCCCGGCTCCGCAGGAAGCCTGCCCAAAGGGACGAAGACTCCTACGATCCCCAAGAGGCGCCCCCTCTCCATCCGTGGGACAAGCCCCCTTCCCGGCCCCACAAGGGGCGCGCCGCTCGCCACCGGCTTCCGTCGCCGCGGAGCCTGGGGTCCCTACGCTCTCCAAGCCCCCCGAGCGCCTCTCTCCGCAGTGCCCCGCAGTCTCCACTTACGGGGTGCACCGATCGCTGAATTCGTTGGCTATGGTCTCGATGCCCCCAGCCCGCGCCACTGCGATGTAGCAGCTCTGCGAGCCCACGTCCAGCCCTACCACCGACATGGCCGGCTCGCGGTGCGCCTCCGCCTCCGATCTAGGTCTGCGCCCTGGGGCCGCCGACTCGCTCCTCCGCCGCCGCGGCTTGCTGCTGTAGTCCGCTGGGCACCGACCGCGCTTCTGTCACTCGGGAGGATGCGCGGTCTTCTGGCTCGTCTGGGGCCTCCGGCTTCCCGGGAACAGCAGCGCTGACAAGAGGTTCGCCCGAGAACAAGGCGGCGCCCGGCCTGTGTGAGTTGCTCCGCAGCTCCGGCTGTCAGCTTCACTCGACTGCCACTCGCTCGCACACCGGCGCCCAGCTACCGACCCAAAAGGGGAGGTCCCAGTTCCTCAGGCTTATGTATTGCCTGATCAGAACTTTCCAGAATCTGCGGCATTTACTCACCGGCGCCTCCACCGGCCCCTCCACGTGCCACTTCCGCTTCCTTCTTCTCGAGCCTTCTGGAAAGATTCTACCCAATGGGTGGCTGGTCCCCCGGGGGGACGGCAGTGGTTGCCATGGTGACAAGACAGCCGCCCGGGCGCCATTGGCTCCCCCAGGCAGGGCTGAGCCTCCTACACCCCCGCCCGTCCTAGTCACATAGGCAATAAAAAATAACGCAAAAATTCTTAATATTCATAATTTGCTACTGGATGGTGGTGTCCGACCCTTAGCCTCTAAAGTGGGGCTATGCGGAGGAACAAATCGCCCACTTCTCAGTAATTTCCAGACCCCCCGGAGGGAGGCGGGACAAGCTGTCAGGAGAGCATGCCGGGAAACGTAGTCCGGCGTGTGGGAGTGGAGGTGGGAGGGAGACGTGAGCGCCTTGCATGACGGGATGTGAAGTCCTGACCGCGGTGCCTGCTGGGACTCAGCTTTGTCTAGGGAGCGGCCAGCAGTCTGGCGCTTTCCCGCCCCTTCGCTGGCCCGGAGGGTTGTTTTGGATTCACTTCTTTTGTTGTGTGGATTACCCTGGCAACGAATGCGCTGTGCCTTAGATGAAGGGTTTAAGTGTATTCATTCATCAGCCAGACGTATATTCTTTTGTAGAATGAAATGTCACAGAGTTGTTCTGTTTTTCCCCTTAAATAAAGCGGGGTTAAGTTGGGTGTAATTTGAAAGACTGTCCGCCGGCTACTTTCTGTATTTCTTGATTTTGATCAGAAATGCTGCAGCGTTTGTTTCTTTCCTGGAAAGCTATGCTCTCATTATCTTAGAGAGAGAGAGAGAGAGAGAGAGAGAGAGAGAGCGAGCTGCTAATATCAGATCTTGCATTTCTTTTAGTGACTTTTTAAGTTTGCCTGAGAGCTGCTTGTTTACTTGCCTCAAGTCCCCAGAAATAAGCACACTATACGTGTAACTGGATCAATGTGTAACTGGACCGAGTTGTGTCTCAAGGTTAGAAAAATGTGACTGACGAGGAGTTCCTCCTTATCCAGACAGGAATTACCATGCAGAAGCAAGGTCAGAGGCCCAGGTTTATATTACATGTAAACTGTATATACCTTTTGATGACTGGCCTGCCACTTGGACACGTTAACCTGCTTCACTTAATTAAACGTTAAAAGGGGGATGTTAATAGCTATTCTTTAAAATAGTTTTGGCTCTAAGTGGTTCTTAGGCGTTCTTAACACCGACACCCTTGGATTATGAAAACATTAAAATCTGTGGAATCAGCAGTTTTGAACAGAAAGAACATTTGAGATACAAAGTATTTCGACATAAGAAACTACTGTATAGGCGAGAGGGTGTAGACAGCTTGGGATCAGGTTCAGATGCTGGCACTCCATTCCAAGATTTTTATATTAAGTACACATGTAAGAGCACTAACTCTCCTAGAGTTGAACTTGGGTTTGAATTCTGGCTGTCATTACTTTGTGAGCTGTGTAACACTGAGGTAATTACTAACCCTCCCTATGTTCTAACATGCATGGTTTATGTAACAATAAAAAAGTATATGTAAAACATATTATTATGTAATATTGTTACAGGCATTTAGTTAGAAATCTTATAGGCACTCAGACAGGGCTAAGCCCCAGCACAGAGGGCCAAATGACCTCAGAGGAGATAAACACCTCACCTCCAGCTGTGGGCCAGATCCCAATACAAAAAGCAAAGCAAATACACTCATATCCTATGGATTGATAGTATAAAGAGTTCTCTGTCACACTGAGGGAATCAGGAGGCACCATCCCAACCCCCTACAGGAAGAGTATTCTCTTGCTAAGTGACTTACTTCCCTATTTGTCCCTGATTTGGTCAATCTTGCTTAAACAATCTTATTGGTTGACCATAGTTCTGTCCCACTTCGGGCCAGTCTGTCTTGCAAGTTCCCCTGTTGTCCCCACCTTGGACGGGTCTCACCTGGTGGTTTTACTCTATAAAATTCCCTAGAAAAAAGAGTCTTTGGCAAGCCACTCGGATCCCTTCTGTCTCCCAGACAGAAGCTTTCTTTCTCTCAATAAATATGTTCTGTTCTTAACCCCCATTGTTCCTAAAATTCATTCTTTGACTTTAGAGAACACAAACTCACACCCGACATACGATAGGTTGGGAGTTTCATTCTCCTATATCAATAATACTGTTTAATCCTAGGCAACCCTGTGCAATGAAAATAATATTTTTTTCCTCAAAGTTTGGAAAGATTCAATATGAATAAAACATCTAGTGTGGTAAAAATTGTTCAATCATTTGAAATAAGAATGGCACCAAGCCAGGGATTTAGCTCAGCGGCATAAGGCATAAGCGCCTGCCTTGCAAGCACATGGAACTGAGTTTGATCCCTGACGAAACAAAAAAAGAATGGTACCAGGAAATAATATCAGAACTTCAATCTCAACTCATACTGTTGTGGTCATGATGTAGTCCTCTTTTGTTTAAAATATTCACCTTAGCCATTTATTCACAGAACAAATCAGTAATGAGAAACCATAACAACGACCACATTGTCTAACTAAAACAGTTGCCATTTTTGTTAATTTTGTTACTTGTTATTACTTTAAATATTTTTATTACACACAATTTCCCATACTATTTTTGTCAATATCAGAAATTTTACATTTGAAAATTAGATCAGGGGCTGGGGATAAACACCTGCCTTGCAAGCTGGCAGTCGTGAGTTTGATCCCTGGTACCAATAAAAAGGAAAAAGACAAAAAAAAAAAAAAAAAAAAAGAAAATTAGATCAGATAAAAACAGTCCTCATAGATGCTTGTTTTATATTATGGATCCAGAGGTAAACATAAAATTAAAGTGAATTTTTCCTATCTGCTATCAACTATGTTGTACTTTCTGAGTTTCATATTTGTTTTCAAGAAAAGATTCTTGGAATTGGAAGCAGAGATAGCTCTTAAAGAATAATAAAACAAAAAGGCAAAATTGAGAAACAAAAAGCCCAAACAAAAATGTATTCAAAGCAATAATATGCAGTAGATATAAATAGCTCTGGCTACCTTCCTTGAAAGGAAGAAAGAGATGGACAAAGAACAGATATATAAATAAACATGAAAGCGTCCATGACCTTCAACTTCTGGTGTGAGTCAGTATTTTGGTAGCCTCTGTATCCAGCACAGCAGCAGATGCTAGAGAGTAACAGAAGTAGCATAAACCTTATTCCATATAAAGATGTGTTTTGCATGGCTTCTCTCTAATGCCAGCGCATCATAAATGCTCAACTATCTGAAACTTTGCCCACGTGAACCTTTCCATATTTGCTTATTAAAGGATTTTGTTTTTATATATTTTAACTGTTTCTTAGAAGTTTATTGGTTCTGCTAAAAACAGGAATGCATGAACAAATTGTGCTGGGAGCAGAGATTTATTAAAAGGTTGATATAAAACTGAGAGAATTTTATCCCATTGGCTAGCAGCCAAGTAGAGGGGCAGAAGACCCAAGGATTACATTTACAACAAATGTGGCTAAAAATCTCAGCACAGTGTATATGAAATTGTTGATGCTGTCCCCTCCAAATCCATGGGAAACACTTTCCCACTGGAAGCCTGTGCTAAGTAAGGTACACTGGCCTCCTTTCTACATCAAAGCATTTGTGTATTGTTCCCATGCTTACAGAGGTCTTCCTCAGGTTCTGAAGTAGGCCAAGCTCATTTTAAGTCTTGCCTCCCATGAGGGAAGTTTCTGAATGTTCACCTAGCAGTAAGCCCAATACCCTTCCCAAAGGTCAATTTAGATTTTGTTGTTATTAAAGAGAAGTTGGAGCCAACCTCAATGCCAAAGGTGTTTATTGTTGGGCTTGGCCCAATCAGCCTATTCCTTCGTCTTGCCCATGATTCAAGGCTGGGTGGGCACGTGACCTGGGCAGCCCAATCAGAGTGACTCAGCACTATGGCTTAGAATCCTGGGACTTGAGCATTGTCTCTGACCTTCTGTCTTTATTGCTCTTTCTTTTTCCTTCCATCCTTCTCCTCCTCCTTTTCCCAAGCTCTGTTGTATGATGTCATAAGGCCCAGAACCATTACGATGATCCTACTACCATCCTAGAAAGAAAACTGACCTATGAAGATGGTTAGAACTAAAGAAATCACAGCCAGAGCTAAGAATTTCAGCCCTGAGACTCACCTTACCTGTGGATTTACATTACGCACTGTGTAAGCTAACTTGAATTGGGGTTTCTGTTTCTGTTACTGTCAAGAGCAAATAACCACCTTTGGAAAGTCTTCCCTGACCATAAGTATTATCTGAAGCATCTCCCCAGGCCTGTTGTTATCTACTTATTTCTTTCACAAGTTCATACCATAATGTTCATGATATATGTGTTTTACTTCGTCTGATTGTAGGGCTGAGGAAGGCAGTGATTTTTTTTCTTTACAGTAGTCTATAGATACGCAATTATTTTTTGACTCAACAAAAAATCATAAATTTATTAGAAAAAGGAACATTTATCAGCTTGCTTCTAATATGTATTTGACCACCTTGCAATGGGTCACATCTTGGCCTGGATAGTACTTATAGGGGCTGCTCTGTGTGTTGTGAGAAGTTTAAGTCCATCCCAGCCACTACCCACTAGATGCCCTAGCAGTATTCTGTGCTTCCCGTTCCTAGTGCAACAACCAGAAATGTCTCCTGACATTGCCAAGTTTCCAGGGACAAAACTATGCCTGGTTGAGGGCTCCTGCTCACAATCTAATTTTGATTTAAGCCTAAGTGGTACAAAAAAGGAAGTCTCAGGATATATATTTAGAGGAAACTAGAGCCTGCTTGTTTTCTGAGACAGTGGCTAAGACATGAGCAGAGAGCCCTGCTCTGAATGAATTGGGGAGCTCTGGTCTGCATAGGTCCCCTAAGAAAGGAGGGTCAGCTGCCTCTCATTTGGCCACAGTACACACTCGCTGTTGTGGACATGTACATTGCCCACTCCAAGTCAGTTGAAAAATATTTTGTGTGGTTATAAATAACTTCCTCTAGAAATATACCTATAACTTAGTA